AATCTCCGGCGGCGACCCATCGCCGGAAAATTCGTGTCGAGCCGATGGAGGAGTCCTACCTGAACCCGTTCTCGGAGGAGACGACGTTTTACAACCGCATTGTGCTCGGCACCCTCGTCCCCAATAGAGTGTGGGACCCACTCCCCCACTTCTTCCAGACGTGGCTGCGCAACTACGTCGGCGGGACCTTGGTCTACCTCGTCTCCGGCTTCCTTTGGTGCCTCTACATTTACTACCTGAAACGCAACGTTTATCTCCCCAAAGGTACACCAATCACCAAGGTCCAATGCTCTCTCTAATAGTGGTGTTGACTTAGGGTGTATTAAATTGGGATTTTGGGGGGTTTTAATTCTTTTAATGAATCTAGGTATTCAATCACGATTTTAAGCGATTCTCTAAATTGGGATTTTTCGTTATCTTCTGTAAAAAAAGAGTTGTGGTTTGGCTGTGGGATGAATTATATGAGTCTGTAGTTTGGTGGGTAGTGTTGGTTATTGAGTGTGAATATCACTCCTCTCATTGATTCATGAAAAATTTTGGAACATTAAAAAAAAAACACTGTGGTACTCAAGATGGCTAGAGGAGTGTGCTTTTCTCTCTGTACTTAAGTTCGAATATCAAATTAGATTAATTAGAGTATCGCCTCGATTTGCAGAAAAAGAAAACATAATTAGAGACCATCACATTGTTCTTGAGTAGGTATGTGATTTCTTAAGATTTCTATCTAATTACTCTTGATATTTTCAAAGTATGGATTAAGGATTCTCTCTGTCTCACTGAGTTTTAGTGATTTTGTAAATCTATTTAGCAGATTGGCTTTTGCTTGGTTCAAAACTTTTGAATCTGTTATTTGTTTGTTGGTTTGATTATTTTTTTCGTTGCTCTCTCTCTTCAATTGTGTTTCTATGAGCAGTTTATTTTAATCTCAGGAAAATTAGATGGACTATGTTTGTTCAAGTTGTTTTTTATGTACATTGATGGATCTGATCTGAACTCCCTCTTTCATATTGATTGACGATTAAATTTTGACAAAGATTTAGCATACATACTACAACTGAGTAGATTACAAGATTGTGGATCCTGCAATGTTTTGTTACTTCACCGTAGAATTTTGTGCGTATTAACAACTACTGTTAGAAACTTAGGATGATACCAATTTACGTTATTGTTTATTTGTTTCCTCATTGCAGATGCCATTCCCTCTAATAAAGCCATGCGTTTGCAAATATATGTTGCCATGAAGGCCATGCCTTGGTACAGTGCTCTTCCAACTGTTTCTGAGTACATGGTTGAAAATGGCTGGGCTAAGTGCTTTGCAAGAGTAAGTGATGTTGGTTGGCCCGCTTACCTCTTGTATTTAGCAATTTATCTTGTATTCGTGGAGTTCGGAATTTATTGGATGCACAGGGAGTTGCATGACATAAAACCTCTGTATAAATATCTTCATGCTACCCATCACATCTACAACAAGCAGAACACCCTCTCTCCGTTTGCTGGTAAGCTATCAAACTACTCAACTTTCATACTTTGTCATTTTGAATGTTTTCGCATCTTATCTGATTTGGATCATGAGCGAATATATATGTGTGTGTGTGTGTGTTTGATTGTGTTATGGCATATGTAAAATCCATGTTTGGTGCACTTGATGAGGTTACATATTTCTGTGACATTGTTTCCTGAATTCTTTCTCCTCTGGAAGACCGTATATGATATATCTTGATTGTTATTATCATTGCATTTTAAGTCTGTTTTATCCTGCCAATTGAGTTCCACTCTTGTCTATTTCGCTCTAACACATGACTTTTTCAAGGACTTGATGGAAGAAGGATAACAGTTTCCCTTTTAAAAAAGTTGATTTCTTTGTTCTGTTTCCTTTCTTTTTTCCATGACATAAGATGGTTAATCACCTTCGTATGGCAATTTTGGCTCTAACTTACTCTGCCACTCTCAGTGTACTTGTGGAAACCAACATTTGCGACTCTCAGTTGCTTTCTGGATCAGTAAGAAGCATGAAAATTACATGGAAGGATTTTCTGTGCACTTTCTCCTTAACAAGCTAATTATGTACTATCTTTCATTCGCTCTGCCAATTCTTCCTCCCCAACTAGGATTTGATAAAAGAACTTTAATGTCCTGTAGTTCTTCCCCAGGATCATTGGTCGACCAATAAACTAACCTTATTATCACCCTGTTGAGTTTGGTATGGTATAGGCTTCTGATATTATGCTTTTGCTACGAAGGGCATTCCGAAATTAGGTAGTAGGAAACAATCTATGTATCCACTATACTTGGACTAGGTTTCGGTAGAACTCAGGTATACAAATCATGATTTATGTCTTTGTAAGCCATTTTAAAAGAACATTCCTCCTTTGGAGTCCTCGTGATGGTTATTTTGTGGGTAATCTTCATGGACCAAAGTTGTGGTTTCATGCGATACTGGTTGTTTTGTACTTATTGTGTGCTTCAGTTCATCGGAATCCCAGACCAGAAAAATAAAATATTCATCAGAAAATTTTCACGTACCTCTTTCTTTCGTATTCATGTGGATTTGAGTGTGGCGGTCTCCGGGGACCAATAGTGCTTAGTTTAATTGTTCTGCATTCTGCTTGAGCTTCGCCTGTTCTGTCTTGAGATTGACAGCTTATCAACTTTTGTTTATGACATGTTAATAAAGTATCAGTTTTTTACAAGTAAAGGCCATTTTAAGCTTTTTTTTAATGAAAATCAATGTCATTTGAACAATTTCTATTTTGTTTTCCTGAGTTTAATCTTGTAAGAGTCACTTGTTTCCCAATCCACTCCGCTTGTTATTCCCGACAAATATGATGCAAGGGAAAAACAATCACTGTTCTTTACTTCATTAAATTAAGGAACGTAGTTCAACTTAACATAATTTTCATCTAGTTCAACTTGTCATCACATTTTTGAAATCTTTTCCTTACATATGTTGCTAATGCTCGACTGTTTTGGATCTGTTTATGTCAGGTTTGGCTTTTCACCCGATTGATGGGATACTACAGGCAGTTCCACATGTTTTAGCTCTATTTCTTGTACCAATGCATTTTACAACCCACATAGCGCTCCTATTTATCGAGGCCATATGGACAGCGAACATTCACGATTGCATCCACTCCAAAATATGGCCTGTCATGGGTGCCGGCTACCACACCATACATCATACTACATACCGCCATAACTATGGCCATTATACCATATGGATGGATTGGATGTGTGGAACGCTTCGTGACCCCTTGGACGATGAATCAAAGGTCTTATGATGCGCTCACTGCATGGATTAACTTTCTGCGGCTCTCGTTTGTCAATGATTTTCGTGATGGTTGGATTTGTTTTTATGTCTGTCGTCTTTTCTTGTATATAGAAGCTAGCAGAGAAGAAATTTTGAGCACAAAGAGGAACTTTATCTCCTCCATATCTAATTCAGCTGTTCCCAAGTCCCGTAGCCCATGTGGTCATTGGAATAAACTGTTGCAGTAAACTTTTGTGGCATGCTTTGAATGAATTAGAATTTTTTTTTTTTTTTTTAATCAAATCAGAGATTCTTTTCTTCATGTGATTCAATATTTTTGTGGATAGGTTGATGGGTTTCTACCCTAGTGCTCTAAGCTCGAGACACCCCCCTTCTCCACTAAATTAATGTAATAGTTTCGAACTCTCTTTCTCCTTTCTCTTTTTCTTCTTTTTCTTTTTTTTTTTTTCTATTTAAAAACTGTGAAACTAGATATGTGCTGCGGTTTAAGTTTAAAATATAAGGGGATTGTAGAAATTAGTGTGAGAGAGAGAGAACTCTCCCCAAAACACAGTTGTAGAACTCATGAGGATTCAACCTTGAAAGTTGTACAACTATCATGGAGAAAAGACCACGCCACCATTTGATGATTTTCTAATAGTAGACAAACAAGCATTGTTATAACTTATAAGTCACCTCCAGCAATGTGACGAGCTTCGTCCTCGTACTTGTTTGCCAGGAGCACAAACTGCAAGAGCCACAAAAAACCACAACCTCATATCTAGACAATAGATGTCGCTATAAGATTTAAGGTTGAGTACTAAGCCATAGTGTTGTTAAGCCCGCTATCAAAGGCTCTCATCGATTGAGCGAGAGAGAGAGAAATACAACAACTACGAAAGCTTAGCTTAATATACTAGACCAAGCATCTTTTTGTCCGTTAATCTTCTAGCAAGTTATAGCAACGCGTCAACACGCGCGACACGGGAATGGTGTTAAAGGCATCCTTCATTGCCTTAAAGGTACTACGAATCTGGACTTATTCTATCCCTATGAACTTCATAATAGATCATACCCTCTTGGTCTTCATAATGAGGCTTGTCTTATTGGTTATGTTGATGCGGGTTATTTCTCAAACCTGCAAAAGACACATTCTCAAACGGGTTATGTCTTTACCATTGGAATCACCACAATATTTTGGAGGTCAATCAAACAGACTTTAGTTGGGACTTCTTCGAATCATATTGAAATTCCCGCTGTACACCTCTTTTTTCTCTCTCTCCTTCACTACAACCATCTCCTTCAGTTAAATTTAAGACTATAACAATGTTAACGATCGACCACTTAGTACTACGATCTAGTGATATTCTTTTTTAACTTGTAAATAAAATGTCTTAGATTCGATTCTCGTTAAAAACAAATATAAATCATATTATTATTAGCCATGATGTTAAGTCATTGGCTATCCCTCCCTTTAGTGTCATTTGTTAAAAAAATTAAAAAATAATAAAAGAATAAAGAAAGACAATGTTACCGAACGAAAGAAATTGTTAAACAGGTTGAGTTTAATGTCGACTATTAATTGACTACACGAATTGCCATCTCTAATTTTTTATGGTGCCAAAAAAACAGGAAGCTGCCAGAAAATCCCAAACCGAAATGTAGGTCCAACGATGATCACTCATCAAACAATCACCGGTTTTGCAGAACACAGAGGATAAGAAAACTGAGACTTGATCTCCCTGTCCTCCGCAGTCGCTGAGACGCTAACTATGCCCGCCACTCTCTTCCTCTCTCCTCTTTCCACTCTCCCAAACACCGCCCATCTTCTTCCCTCTCACGCGCACTTTTCCATCTCATCTTCCTTAAACCCAAAACCTCCACAAAACCCAACTCCCTCCAAAACCCCGCATTCCACGCCCCCATTGGAGTCCTTTTCGAGCTCCGACGCCTCCGTTAAGGCTCCCGCTGCTCCATGGATGAAGGGTCCGCTTCTTCTTCAACCCCACCAAGTCATTGACTTCTCAAGACCCAGAAACAGGAAGATCCCCGGCAATGCCAAACCCGAAAACTCCGATTCGGAGCTAGGAGGCAAGTTGGTCGGCATTAGAGGGGAGAGAGCAATCAAGCAAATTGTCCAGAGCATTGAGAGGCTTGGACCAAATGAGAATCCGGAAAAACCCCAGAAAGGTTTTGGGGAGTTTGGGATTTGGGATTGCTTGGAGGGGCTCGTACAAGAGGATAATTCGGTAGGAACCCACAGAGGTTTTGGGGAGTTTGGAATTGGGGATTGCTTGGAGGGACTTGGAAAGGCCGACGACTCGAAGATTTCCGGGAAGAAAATGCCGTGGGAGAGGGAGGAAAGGATGGTGTTTCCGAAGGTAAAGAGGAAAGGGTGGCGAGTGCATGCAGAACTGAGCCTTGAGAAAGAGTTACTTGAGAGGTTGAGAGGTGAGGCAGCAAAGATGAGGAAATGGGTCAAGGTTAAGAAGGCCGGGGTCACTCAAGCCGTTGTTGATGATGTTAAGTTCATTTGGAAGGGGAATGAGCTCGCCATGCTCAAATTCGACGTGCCACTCTGCCGGAATATGTATAGAGCTCAAGAGATTCTTGAGGTTTGATGTTCCACCTTTACTTACTTTTTTGTTTTATGCAGACCAGAATGATATATTCAGACAGTTGCTAGACATTTTCCTGAGTTCAGCAAATTAAACTGATTGAGATGGTGTCGTATTTTGGTTTATATAGTTGATTTGATTTAGTTGTCCTTCTGCAGCATGTTATATAATGTTCACTTTTTTAATTGTCTGCTTGAAGTACATTGAATATTGAGATTCGTATCAATTCCAGCTCCTGCATTGTTGGGCTTTCGCCTATTGGGACTTAGTTGTGTGTTTATATGACTGCTCTAATTTTTATTTTCGCATATTATTGGGCGAACTTTTTCTAAAAGAATGAGATATATTCATTATGAGAATTATATTAAGTGATCCGCCTTCCTAGTTCAGTAGTTCTCTATCCACTGCTTTGGATTTGTTTTTCTGTTCTTTTGAGTTATTATATGTTCTCTTGGTGATTATATATATGTGCATATGTTTCATACACAGATGAAGACTGGAGGCATGGTTGTTTGGAGAAATAAAGACTCACTTGTTATTTATAGAGGGTGCAATTATCAATTAACTTCGAAATTTTTTCCAGAGAGGCGCCCACACTCTGCTGGCTGTCAAGAAACATCATCCTCAAATCTCATTCAGCTGGACTTAGAAAAAAGTAGTATTTATCAATCTGAAACTTTTGAAAGTGCTGTGGATGAAAAGTTGAACAAAAAGAACGACAAAGGGGATCCGACACAAATCTTTCTAGAAACCAATGTGAGTTGCCAACCAACAAGTAGCTCCTTGTATGAGAAGGAAGCAGATAGATTATTGGATGGCTTAGGACCTCGATTCATTGACTGGTGGATGCACAAGCCTTTGCCAGTAGATGCGGACTTGCTCCCAGAAGTGGTTCCTGGATTTAAGGCTCCAATTAGGCGCTGTCCACCAAACACTAGATCAAGGCTAACAGATGATGAACTAACTAACTTGAGGAAGTCCGCTCGTTCATTGCCTACTCATTTTGTCTTAGGTATTACCTTTCCTACTGACATAAATATAGACATAATTGACAATGCATGGTGGTGCATACATGCATTTGTATGTATGAAATGTTTTCTAATTTTGTTTTCCTTTTTCAATGTTCTCAAGGAAGGAACAGGAAACTTCAAGGCTTGGCTGCTGCCATCTTAAAGTTGTGGGAGAAAAGTCAGATAGCAAAGATTGCTGTGAAGCTTGGAGTTCCAAATACAAACAATGAGCAAATGGCATATGAGCTGAAGGCAAGTTTAAGAAAATGTATGCATATACATGACATCCACGACTCAATCAAAATGCTATTTATGCATCCGTCATTATTGGGTAATAAAAGGTGTATATTAATGGCTAACATTTGAGGAAAAGTCGGCTGCTTTTCCTTAATGAATAACGCCTGATCAGAACTCATAATTGGCAATTTTCCTTTTCTGTTATCATAAATTCAGTTAAGCTGTAATATCAGCAACAAAATTAAAACTTAATCTCAAGTTCTTGACTAATTATGTAACTCAAGGACAATTTTTACTAATGCAGTGTCTCACAGGAGGAGTTCTGTTACTGCGCAATAAGTTTATTATATTACTCTATAGAGGCAAGGACTTTCTTCCTTGTGGAGTTTCGGATTTAGTAGCAAAAAGAGAAATAGAGCTCAATAGATGGCAACTCCATGAAGAACATGCACGCCTGAAAGCAATTGAAACTTTTTCTGAAGATGATGATCCATTAGGCAGTACTGGCACAGTGGGAACATTATCAGAATTCCATAATATCCAAACAGAGTATGGAGACCTTATAAGAAGAAATAAAGACATTGAAATTAAGCTGGAAGCTGAAAAGGCACGACTGGGGAGGGAGCTGAGGAATCAAGAGCGCAAGGCGTTCATTGTAAGATGCTAATCCATGAAACCTTTATTACCACTTTTCACTTTTTTATAATGTTTTCCATTTATAATAGTTTGTTATGGTTTTCAGCTAAGCAGAAAAATAGAGAAATCAACAAATAAGTTATCAAAGTTGAATTCTCAATGGACACCGGCTGAGCAGGATGTTGACCAAGAAATGATAACTGAAGAAGAGAGAGAATGCTTCCGAAAGATAGGACTGAAGATGCATAGTTGCTTAGTACTTGGTAAAGATAAACTTTCCGTCTGTTGTACACATAACTGGCTCTAACCCTTCTTTATTCTCCCTACATTCATTATCTGTGGTTTGATATTTATATATTGAATCCCTCATTAGTCCCATATTACCAGTATTTTCTTCAATTTCGTTGTTATTTTTCTTTTTTTGTGGGTCAGTGGATTTGTCATGGAGGGTTGAATTCTATCTGGGTGAACCATCATGGTTTTTTTTTTTTTTTTTTTTATTTTTTTTAATTTTAATAAAGTAAGAGATTAATCTTGATATATATATATAGTGTGTAACGATGTATAGCTCTTCCAAACTTTATTCTTCTTGAGTTTGCATTGAGGTTTGTGTTTCTTCTCATCCAAATAAAAAAAAAAAAAAGGTTTGCATATCGAAAGCTATGAACTAAATCAGATTTTCATTACTTACCACTAAAGATCTTTAACTCCTGGCCTCATGGGGGTTCCAACTCTGAGATGTTTTCAGCAGTCTGCTGATGACGTTTAAGAAGGCTAGGATTCTTTTCACAGTCCCACTCATGGCTTAATCTTTTGCTTACTTTTCATTTCTCTGTACATTTATGTGTAATTCCTTTTGATTGTGATATATTGCCTAGTCAAATTGACGTTTTCAAAAATCTTCTATTAGAGCCATACTCTTTATCTGGTGTTATTCAAGAGCTTGTTTGGAGGGGACACTAGTTTATTTCTGAACCCTTAATTGAAATCGAAATCTGGTAGTTATCTTGTTTGATGAGTTGTCTTTGTAATCGTATCTCATTGCTTCAATGTTGGCTTCAGGTAGGCGTGGGGTCTTTAATGGGGTAAAGGAAGGTATTCATCAGCACTGGAAGCACAGGGAGGTAGTCAAAGTTATTACAATGCAGAAACTGTTTGGGCAGGTCATGTACACTGCAAAGTTCCTTGAAGCAGAAAGTGGTGGGGTTCTCGTCTCGGTGGATAAGCTAAAAAAGGGCCATGCTATTATTATCTACCGTGGGAGAAATTACCGACGGCCTTTTAAGCCAATATGTGGGAATCTTCTATCTAAAAGAAAAGCATTACATAGATCTCTTGAAATGCAGAGAATTGGAGTAAGATCTTGTTTCCTTGTCGTTGTACTATTTCTCGAGCTTTGTATAGTATATATCTGTTTCTAATTTGAACCTTGTTCTTTTTCTCTCTCAGTCGCTCAAGTTTTTTGCATCCCAGAGACAGCAGGCAGCCTTAGATTTGAAACTGAAACTGGTAAGAGTTTCAATATAGAACCTGAAAGAAAATGCTTGAGGCTACTTGTCTATCTTTTTCAAGTTATGAATAACAGTGCTTGTCCATACTTTTGATATCTATATGCCTTGTTTTCATGCATTGCCTCAATAGTAAGTACTTCAAGAGATGAGACTTATTTTGAGCCCGTGAATGACAGGAAACTTTGCAACAAAATAGAGGAATTAATTGAAGAGAATCCGAAGTTTGACAAACTATTAATTAAAAGACTTGTCGAGCTGCTTCCCATGAGTATTCGGCTATGGAAGGATGTTGATTTTCCATAAGACAGAAACTTCTTCCCAGTCATCAATTCAGTTTACAAGTAAGGCCTTGGAATCTTAGAATATTTAGTCTCCAATATTGTTTATATCACATATACTCTTCAAGTATTTGACTCGACTGGTCTAATTCACATGTACAACTCCAGAAAATTAGGCATCACCAGAGTTTCACCTAGATACAGTATAGCTATCCATCAGCCTCTGTTCACGAGGACGGAGGACATCATGTAAAACTGTAATTTATTCGCATGACACTCACCTTTGTGCATATGCACTTCATAACTTAGTATCAATTGCACGCAGGGTATTTTAACTAGATTCAGTAACATCATTTTTCTCTTTGGAAATCATTAACATTTTATCGAGATGACGATGTTGTGCCAGAATGTTGTGATCTTGTAGGAGAAGCGAAGCATGGCTTTAGAGGAATTTCCAAGGATTGAAGCCTACCTTCCAGCATTAGTCTGAATGTACCACAATGCTTACCAAATGAAGTTCCTTACAATTGTTTCCTCTCCAGCAGTAATCCCCTGGAGTCCTAAATCGTTTCCCTCGTCAAGGCTCTTACAAATATGAGCCTACGAGTATCATAAGTATAGTTGAAGAAGTAGAAATCCGTAGTAGTATTAGTAATTACTAAGCCTGCTGGACTAGAACCCAGCAACGCTTGTGACACGGTTGGCATATCAGGGGCATCAGCTTTGCAGTCCAGATGAAAGAGGGGTGACCACTGTACACGGAGCTGTGAGGACATTTGAAATCGATAGCAGTAAGGAAGACAGAGAAAGAAATTCATTCTGCTAGAGTAAAGAAGACTTGAAATAGCATACAGATCGAACGGTGAAGAGTTGGATGCAGAACTTGAAGTGTTTGAATGGCTTTTTTCCCATGTAAAAAGTTTATAGAGCAACCTTTTAACATAAATCATGCATTTCACTCATTTCGTTCGAACATTTCCTGCAAAGTAGTCACATTATGTACTTAATTCACATACTTTCCACACATTTCATTCAAATGTTTACCCTAAATGGCGAAAGGTGCACGGCGATTTACATTCAATAGTTGCCGGAACTTCACGAACATTTGGTGGCTTTTCAAGATCCACCAAATACATGGTACTCCACCGGGCCAAAGAAACAAGGCAAGAAAAGAGAGGGCAAATGAAAGGAAAGGGATGCCAAGGTCATCGGAGACAAAACTGTTTCCGCCTTGCGAGTGCTTTTGGAACAACCCGCCAAGGCGGAGGCGGACAAGAGGCAGAGACGTGAACAAATGAACCAACACGGGGAGGAGATGCGTGAGAGGAACACAGCACACATGACTCTAAACAGTAAGGAGTTTTTTTAGAGGGCAATTCAAAAGCAACACCGATCACGTAGGTTTCTTCCCTAGTTGCAAAGATCTCCAGTCTCTGGCGTGTTTAAATGAAGCTGATTTCGCATTAGAAATACAAAGGACTTTCCCCAGTTGCAGAATATACATACAAAATGAAACATATAATTTATGTGAACAACACGCTATGGAATGGATGCATCATTTAAACAACACAACTTATTTCAACTGCTCTTCATGTAATAAGAAATCACCACACTAACCCCTTCTTTCTCCTAAACGTGTCGACTCGGTCAGTGCTCATCCGAGACTTCTCGGGCTTGTTCGACTTTTTAGATTTCTCTAGTCGACTATCTAAACTGTTTCTAGAAACTTCTGGAAGATCAGAACCCACTTCAGTTGAATCTGAAGTACCGGTTTCAGATGGTTTGTTCTTGTTCTCAGAATCTACTGTACTTGTTCTAGAACCATTTGTGGTCGATTTTGACTTTCCGAGGCTGTGTACGAATTTCTTTAGATGTTTGATAAATTCTGGGTAAAGCTCAAGATTGCAGTGTCCACCTCCACTGAGCCATAAAGGCTCATACTTTTCCTTGCAAAGCACCCATAGTTGCTTCCCATGGGACGAATCTACGACCTCGTCTGCAGTCCCCTGGGCATGGAACATTTTATTACTACTTTCCACACAAAACAAGCAGCAGTTTCTAGTATGAGAAAAGATGGAAAGGGAATGAAAACAAGTGGCGGTAACATAAACCATTTAAAATGAAGTGGCTACCCTATCCTGATTCCAATGAGAAGACGATGACTGCTATCTCTCACATAAAGTGAAATTCTCAAACCAATCTAATGAGTTTTTTCTAAACCAAATTCACTTATTTCATTCATCCGATAGATGATGCATGAAACATCCCTTTATATCTTCTGTCCCTAACAGCTGGAGAAAGTTGCAGATTCTACCACAAACTTTAATAATATGTCGAAAAATCTACCACACATTAATCTACAGACTTGTAATCTATTGAAAATTTACTAAAGAACTCTGTGTGGTTACACTTCAAACTCTGTCTGCATTCAGACGTGTGTGTGTGTGCACGCAGAGAGAAGAGTAAAAACTGGAAGAGAGGAGATAGACTTACATGTATAACCAGAACAGGACAGCTCACCATTGAAATTTTGTCGATATTCTGGAAAAGATAATAGTTTTTGGTCAATCTAGAAAACAATAATGTAAGTCCTGTTTGGAGGATGAAACAAGCAGGCAGTGCAAAATCACCGTTACAAAATTACCTTGTAAATATCAAACCAGTACGTCCGTTTGACAGGGTACAAAACCCTCAGCCCAGACAAAATGGGACTGTGTAACACCACACCTCTCAAGGTTGCTAGACGTGATGCAAGATCAACAGTGGGACCACTACCAACAGACTGACCATATAATATTAGTTGTTCATCTTTGACCCCATATTTCTCCTTGAGGCATTTGTAAGCTGCATCAATGTCCGCATATGTATTATATTCAGTTGCCTGATTCAAGAAGAAAGGGTGACTGTTACTTATTACGCATGAACTGCTACTAAACCTAACTGTTTAGCCACACTCACAAAGTAATTTAGCAAGCAACGGACATCAATGAATGAGTATGCAAAACCCATATTTATCACTCGCATATAATAACAAAAGGAAACAAGCGTATATTCAGATGCATCAAGCTACAGTCCATTTTTCTCCTGGAAAATCAACAACCAAAAACAAGGATACTAACATGCTAAAGATCTCCAACCTTAGTTTCCTAATCAGAATCCATTTTTGCACGATGTATCTGCATTCACATTTTCTACACTCGAGTGCCCATTTAACCATATAGTTCCCAGCCAAAGAAAAGTATAATGAATTTATTCATTTTTAACAGCCGGATCAGAAGCTTAATATCTTGAACAAGAAATAAAACAAAAACCATGATCTAACACCCTTCGCTAAAAAAGAAAAACAAATAAATAAAAAGATACACACAGAGACACAGCTGATATCATACGTTACACCAATTAAGTTGGATAAACCATATCTCGCTCTCAGATCTCATAAACACTTTAAGAAGGTAGCATCTTATGACAGCATATGTGGGACTTGGCTTCTAACCTTTCCAGTTGACTGTCCATAACCAGAGTAATCATACCTGCGAAATCCATGGAAACATACACTATTAAATTAAGTCAACGATAGAAACATATTATAATCACTTAAAGAAAGAGGTGTCAATAAAAAACAAATGAGAGCCTGCCAGTGCAACCACTGTGACAACCACTATGCCTATACGAACTCAATTCATTCTTTCTGGATAGGAATGTAGAAACAAACGAAAGGGGTTTTTTGGATGAAAAAAAAAAAAAAACAATTGCAGAATTATAGAGCCGCCAGGTGAGCTGAAATATCTAGTATGTGCTCGTTGTGTCTCTTGGTGATTTTTCAAAAATTTGTGAGAGTTTACAGCCTGCGGGTACTCCTTTACTGGACTGGTCATGAGTCTCGACTGAATGCTTTTTTATTGCTATAATTATTAATAAAAAAAATCTTGTTTTTGAGTTCTTTAATGTCAACACCAAACATAATGTGTTTGATGATCTGATTCACTTGTGTACATAGTTGAACATCTTGTCATGTTCCTCTGTTTAAATAAACTTTGTGAGGCATTATCTGATTGGTATTTTTGTGGGAATAGGCCATCGAAGATGACTCGCTTCACCTGCATTTCAAATCAAGCTCTTTACGGGTTTCTATGTGTTAAGTGTTTCATTAGTCTTTTTTTTTTTTTTTTTTTTTTTTTTTCACTTTGGTTGCTTGGTTTCAGACAGGGTACTTCTCTATTGTTTAGTGGATTACTAAACACTCATGGTATAACTTTACATGTACTTTGGTAACACCTCTTTGTTCAGCAATATAAATTAATATCTTCCTAAAATCAACGTCATAACCTCTGAATATTTTACTTGTGTGACTATTAGAATGGACCCATTTTCTTGTTTGATATTTGTATCTCATGTGTATATGGACGTAAAGGAAACCAAATAGATGCATATCACAGAAGGAAAAACCAAAGGGATGGACGTACTTAATGTCTGAATCTGCCGATAATTGAACTACAGGACCAATATGATCACTGGCGAACCAATCAGACTTGTCAATAGCATTCAACAATAAAATCAATCACCCAACAAAATCAATGACCCTATTTATTTATCTAAGACTTGGAATAGTAAGAATCTTCATAAAAGATCACTAGTTAGTAGTTACTATCTTTTTGTTTTTCCACCAGAATCGCTAAGAGTTGATGACAACATCTATAGTGGATGAGAAACCACATACATGGACCTAACGCTCACTGAAAATACCTAGCTCCAAACATATCTCAAAACTTATCAATATATTCAATCCAACAGAGACATGGATGAGAATCTTATACTATGCAGAGCTATTTACTAATACGGATAAAAGTTCTAATATGTTGCAAATTATTGCCATTAAATCAAATGAAGGGGTGCAGATTTAAATCAACAACCTAATACTTACCCAGCCAACGTTCCAAACATGTTTTATTAACACACGACAACAAAAGCACGGGAATCTGGCGTTAGAGCCCAATGCAATATAAGCTAAAGATTTTTCGGCCATAAGTCTAAAGGAGGATTTATCTTATCCTAAATGAGATTGACCAAGGGGATAAAGACTATAGCTTACCACAGAAAAGAATACAAAAATAATACATAAGGTGTTAGACTAGGCAATAAAGACTATAGCTTCACCATTATAGTTATCATCAAAGAATGCTCGCATAAAAATTTAACCTTCAAAAGGGAAAATAATCAAATAAAATTATAAAACCCCGACATGAGCTTTCTGGTTACATTATTCACCTTCTATGCTACATCGTCGTAAATCTAGCTGTTTTCGTTAGGGAATATAGAAACTGGACATGAACATAAAAACACCAAAACCGGAAGTCTATTTCTGGGGATAAGGGAAAATTTGGCTTTCAGCTGACTCCCAAGGGCTCCCAAGATCTTAATGCTAATTAATTAATTGTTTAACTAGGCTCAATTTGCTTTGTGTGAAGAACTATAAATACATTAACAAAGCTTTACACTTTTGCTGTCATTTTCCATTAATGTGGCACTGATGTGCAATTTTGCATTTATTGGAATATTTGTAAGTGAGACAACCAATCTTGTAGTGATGCTTCCAAATTTTACAAGATTTACTTCCTAATATATTTTCACATTAATAACTCTAAAGTGAATTAATTAGCAATAAATTAACTGCATTAACCAACAAACACTACAAAAAAACTCCAACTTTGCAATCGCATAAGAATTATTGGCAAATAAATTGAACGCAATCAAATTCAAAAACCCCAGAAACAAAATCCACAATCAAAAGCACTTACTTACCCCATCAAATTAATCCGAAGGCGAGCACTCAATTCGACGAAAAGCTCATACATCTGCCCCAAATCAGCAGCATTTCCATGGGAGTAAAGCATGGTAGCTGAGGCCTTGGGGTGCTTGACGTGTACGGCCACGATTTCATTTCCCCGGCGAGTCCTGAGCTTCAGCACATCCACGTCGTCCCTCCTCGGCACCTCCGGAATGTAGAGCCTCCCTCCACACGACTCGTCGGCGACGACTCTGTACGACGGCGGACTCGGCGGGAAAAACGCGAACTTGGCTGCGATCGAAGAGGTCACTCCGCCCATCTTATTGTTCTTCTCATCACAGCGGCAACCAAAATTTCAGAGTCCCCAAACGCACACCACTGGATCGATCTCGCCTTAAACAGACAGACAGACACGAGCGTGACAGAAGCACATGATTGTTTGCCTGTGGCGGCGCGTGGAGGTGGAAGGCGGTGGTACGTGGAAACTGGAGGGAGTGAGAGAACGTGTCAAAGTTGGCCGAGGAAATGGAAATCACATCATCGTCGTCTTTTGAAGTGCTCGTAGTCTTTTGAATCTCTTTCTTTTTTAATTAATTTATTTGTTTTAATTTTTTTGTTCTTCGAACGGCGACTTTATATGAATGTCTAGTGTGACACAATGGGATAAGAATAAGATAAGGAGGGGTGGGGATGCGGGTCCAAGCTGGGATTGATGAAATGTTTAATGTGTCGGGAACATCAATATATCCGATGTCATAATATAAGTGTTAAAAATAGTGTTTTTTTTTAAGTATCTGATTATTTATATTATGACACATAATATAGTGATTATGTTTCTGGTACACTAACTCTCAATTTATATCAACTATGTTTTCGGCAGATTAAAAATCTCTCGGTTTATTCCAACCATGTTTTCTGCATATTAAAAATTTCTTGGTTTATTGTTATGTGGGGTTCACTGAGTGTCTGATCATCTGTATGGCTGACGTGGAGTTTGGTTCTATGACGTGTCGTCGAGTTGAAGTATCATGTGGTCACTTTGGGTGTGCTGGAGACATCAAAATTCAAAGGTATATTCAAGGGGGATCGCTGATGAGCATCGGCACATGGTATGTCATTAGGCTAATTGGACCATTAGTTTTCGTCGTGATAAGGTAATTGAAAGATCGTTCATATAGTCAAAAAATTAGAATTTAGGTTTTTATGGTAAAGTTCATTAAGATTTATACCAAAATTGAAAATTTTATAAATTTTTTGTTAATTATTAGCACGTAAGCAACACATATTAAACTAAAACGGAACTCTCCATATATATTAGACTAAAATAAAACTCTCTGTTAATTGTTAGAAGGTAGGACTAGCTCACATGCTAATGATTAACTCACATGCTAATGATTAACAAAAAGTTGACGAAATTTTCCATTCTGAGTATAAATTTTAACAAACTTTACTACAGAAGCTTAAATCCTTTTTTTTTTTTTTATCACATAAACTATCTTCCAACTATCGTATCATAACAAGAACTATTAATCCAATTAAGCCATGTCATTATGTTAGTGGGATCTTTGGGTAAAATTGTAAATTACTCAAATTTACTACAAGGGGATTTGTGCAATTCTTATGAATAGTAATTGCTACGATGTCAAATTAAAATGTCAAAAAATTATTTGTAGCTGATGTGGTAAAATAATATTTTGTAGAAGATTATATATAGCTATTTATTATTACGATCAATGAGTATTCATTTTTATTTGTAAATGAGAGTTTTTAAGTTCAATTATCATCAAAGGTGAATTAGAACAACATTATTGTTAGCTCATTGTGAGGTTTAGTCTATTCTCTTCCCTTAGTGTAGATAATACCAATTGCTCAACAAAAAATTGAGATGTCAAATCAAAATGTTTTTTTTTTTTGGTTATTTATAAAATCAAGTCAGTAGGAATTTAATAATTAAATAATCAATATGTGAAGAAAAACAATCAACATTAATTATAATAAATGATTAAACAAATTAAAAATTAATAAATTACATTTAATAATTAATAAAAAAAAAACATTGGAAGTTGTTGTCAAATTTGACAACAACCTCCTTTGTTGCCAATTCATGTCATCACCATATAAGATTTGACACTTCGGTTGGAAAATATTAGTGTGATCCATTTTTACTGTTATAACTGATGTATACATTTTGTCACCTTCTCTGGAGATGCTCTAAGCAAGCAAATACCCTATCAAAAGTCAATTGGACTAACGGTGAGTTTGGTATTGTTGTTACTTTATGTATAAGTTGATTTTTGTGGAATACTCAGTTGTAAAGTAAATTAATTAAACATGTAATAGATTGTATTTTAAATATGGTTGTGAGTGGAAAGAAAAAAAAAAAACAATGTAATAGTGTTTAATACATTTTTACGTAAAATATTAATAAATATGTATTGATGATTGATGGCCTTGAATTACGTACGATGAGGTCGAAAAGGGTTTTGTTTTAATAAAAAGAGAAAAAGAAACTAATTTTAGTGAGTGGTAACGGCAATGGTAGTGGATGCACAATCGAGTGATGGTGGCGAGGTTGCTAATGAACCTTGTACATAGATTTTACCTAATTTTTGTGATACTAATTACCAAAGTTGGCATATAAAAAAAAAAAAAGCAAAAGGTAGGATCTAAGTTGCATGTGCTCCAATATGATCATATTATAGTGGGTACATTATTGACTTTCCATCCATACATCTCAAATTCGAAACTTTTTTTCCCCTAAATTTTTATTTTATTTGTTATGAACTCCTAAATTATTGCAATAATTTTGAATTCTTCTCCTCCCCCTAATAATTTATTTAAAAAGAAAAAAAAAAAGGTGAGATATAGGTTTGCAATGTTAACTCAACCTTAATTTATCCTTTACAATTCAATTTAAGTTCATGGTCGATTTTCGTCACGATAAGAGGTTTTAGGTTTAATTATCGCCAAATACGAATTTTAACCACATTATTACTAACCAATTGTGAAGTTAAGCCACCACCCTCTCCTTTAGTATAGACAATGTCGTTTGTTCAAAAAAAAAATTGTGAATTAGGCATCCTAAGAGTTCTAATGGTTCAAGAATCATGAAACAAGGTTGAGCTTTCGAATTGTAATGGATCTTACAATTTGAGTCTGAGTCGCTCATTTTCGTTGACAAGTTACAACGATGGTGTCAGATGTGTGATCAAAACTATATGAAACAACAAACATGGATCAATATGAATTTTTAATATGTTCGTAAACGAACATCGTTTTAGTAACATGAGCCAAAAAATTGGTTGTGAACCTGTTTTATATAGTCCTCTTATAGAAGATTATGAACTTGTTCCACGTAAGCTCTCTTATAGATGCAGCCCAACAACAATAAAAGGGTTTGACAAGAAAAAATAAAGCAATAATAAAAGGGTGGAGGCCCAAAATTAGGAAGTTTATTCGGCCCAAAACCTTAGTATAAAGATTGTGTCCATCTCAGCCCACAGAAAAAGCCCGTGTCCTTTCAAATCCTAAGGTCATCATCTTTGTTTGGGTCCATTAGTATAAAGTTTTGGGACGTATTACTGCAAAGTTTTTGTACTCTATACACTTGGTTATGGAACCTCTCTGAAACCAACACGTGCAAGCTGCACCTGAGAGAGACTTTTAATTAAAAATTAATTACTCCCCTAGTTTCTTTGTCCAAACCTTGTCCTTGCATCTTCACTGATTCAAACCCACCAACTACTAAATCTCGTTTAATAGTAAGAATTAATCTTTTATTATTCAAGTGATAGATTATCATGGTGGTTAGAGTTTTTTCTTTACAACCTATTACGTCTACCATTCATCTCTAAGTAGATTGGCATGAAATATCACTTATACAAGGGGAGCAACTGTAGTGAAACACATTCAGCGGTGCCAAGACATTTGAGTCTAGTAAAATGTTATTGTCATGTGAAGAGAAATTATATATAAAAATACATTATCGGCCCAAACATACATAGTGATCAAAATACGTTTTATGTAATTCATTTTCTTATGATTCTATTTTAAGTGAAAAAAATAATTAAAAAAAAAGACGAGACACTAAGACCATCGCTAATGAAGATGGCTAAAGGTCCAAAAGCTAAAAAATAGTTTGAGTTGTTCAGGCTGATTAAGTGTAGCTCTGTCATAGCCTTTTGTGAGCCATAGTTGCAATAATAATTTATTCAAATCAAACGGCTAAATTGAAAACATTAAACGCTAGTTTAATTAATAAAATAATAAATTTAAAATATAAACTTAAAATTAATGAATTTTTAAAGGAATTAGGTTTATCTCATTGAGGTGATATATGAATATAATTTGACACTTGTATAAAAATAATTTCTTACATAACAATAATTTTGGACAGACTATATTTACCCTTTCGATTAAAGACGGCCTAAATCGACGAATTGGCCTAAACTTTTTTTTTTTTTTTTTAAAAAACAAGAAATATTACTGCTCCACAAGAAAATTCCACAAATCCACCATGCTTTTAAATCTTTAATAATAAGATCCCGACGCACATCTAATTATAACCGACCAAATGCGGAGATGATGCTAATATGCGCCGCGATACTTTTCGTTAATATTAGCAGCTCCGGCGCGCATTAGCATTGGGCGGCGCCAAAATATGGCCGTTGGCCGTTGCCACCAAAATATTAAATTGTGAATCTAATTACTATTTATAAAAAGAAAAAAAAAATCTAATAAGATTACACTCCAATCATATTTTCCAAAAACAAGTAAAAAAAAATGGAATTATCCGTACTTTCACAGAAAATTGAGAACGCCTAGCTACTCGGGGATGGAAACCAGAACAGGCCGCCAAGATCGTTTCAGCAACCTATTTCGAAACGACAACCCTCGGCCTCGCCGAGTCGGAAACCTACCGGCACCGCCACCACTTCCGGTTTCCGATAACAACCCTCGCTCTTCTTCTTCGTCCACAATTCCTCGACCTCTCCTATCCGAAACACTATCTTCGAACGGCGGCGACGACACGAAGAGGTCCTTCAGCTTGCGCCGAACCCGAGCGACATCCTTGCTCTTCTGCGGCGGATCACCATCGCGATTGTCGCCGTCGATGGGTGGAGATTTTGAGGAATTGGTCCGGCGAGGCAATCGGCGGTGGTCCTGGCAGGAGAGGAACATTCTTAGAGTTTTGCGGCGGCGGAGGTGAATGACTGGGCTGGCCGATGGGCTCCGCGTTGGGCTACCGGCTACGGCGCATTGAGTCGCTAAGAGCTTGACTTTTTGCAGGGTCACCATGGTAAACGATGAGTTGGCGGTGTGAAGTTTGCGGGTGGCGATTCAATGGTTAGAAATCATGGGTGGTGGTGGAGTGGAGAGAATGTGAGATCTGATCTGGGGAGGAGTGGGAGGGTTGGTATTGGAGCGAGCAAGCAAATAGAGCTGAAAAATGTATATTTTTTTATATTTTTTATTTATTTGTTTTTTGGTGGAGAGAAGAGAACATAGGTGTCAAAGTGGAATGTGGGCGGGCCCGGCGGGGCTTTAAAAAGAAAAAGGCTTGGCTCTCGTACTTTGACCAAGAAATTGAGATATTTTTCAATATGAGCGTCACACGAGATGATATAAACGTGTTTTTATATAAATGGTAAGATATGTATATTAAAAAGTTAATAACTTAAAAAATAAAGTTTTCCTAAACTTATATAAAAATACGTAGTGTACCACTCGTGTTCCTGTTACAACTAAAAATTTCTTCAAGAAATTCTCCCCAATTCATTTAGTGGCTGATTTGCAAAATTTTTTGTTTATGATTAATTTGTTATATTATAAATAATTTAAAATTTATATTTATAAAAAATAATTAAATCAATGTTGTTTAGTCAATCAATTATAATAAATAAATAAACGTTTGTAATTCATTTACTGAATTCATTCATTTGTTTATAAAGCTCAATGACCGAACGATATCATATTTATTTTTTTGTCTTTTGGCTTCTGTCGCTAAACAGCGTTTTAGTTGTAGTAAATGTCACACTTGATCTTCCTTTCTCAAATTTATAAGTGAAAGTCAAGGTCTAACAAATTGAAATCCTATGCTATCCCCTCAAATCTTTGCTTTTCTTTGCCTTCTTGTGTCAAATTGTCAAACAACTTTTTCTTATGTACATGTCACGCGTAACCTTCATTCTCTAAATAAAATGGGCTTTTACAAATGAGCTTGTTAGCATAATCCATGACATGGCATTGAAGAATAAGAATAATTGTTTGGTTTGACTGTGTATATAAAATGTATAATGATACATAATTGTACAGTACATTCACCCAAAATACCGTACCGTCCAAATTCATCTCCGCCATACTGTATAATAAAGAACGTATCGTACTTGTCATCGTATACCAAGTCAGTCCCCAATCCGGCAATGACAATTTGCGTAGTAGCATCCTAGATTTACAAGTTACGAGTTACCAAATCAATCCCACGATCTGGAGGATAGAAGCAGCCAGATTGCTCTCACCACCATGGCTTGGATTAAATAGTATTGTCCCATCTCTTAAAAACCTGTTGAGGTGAAAAATATATTAGAAATATTAAAATGGGAGGAAAGGTTTTTAAAAAAGAAAAAATGAAAAACCATGCATTAGGTTTCTGACAAACGTCTAAACTACAGGGTAAGGGGTTCAAACTTCGGTGCAGAGTATAGAGCAAATTGTTTTATTTGTAATATCGTAAAACCGATAAGAAAATATTAACAAAAATACATTTCAGTGCTGATGGCTTATGTACAATACTCGACTGACGATATGGAAAATCAAAAGAAAATCAACTGACGATATGGAAAGACACTCGAGTTTTAACATCCGTGTATGAGAGTATACAATACTTTTTACCATCTGTTTTAGAACTCAAGGCTGCAGCTCACTGGAAAAAAAAAACAAGGAAGGAGGATATGGAAATCTCTACTGCTAAAAGGAACTAGGTGTGGTAGAGCTGCTAACCAATTTATCAGTTCCATTCGAGTCTGGTGAAAGCGGGGGTGGCATACTCTTCAAAAGTCCAACCTCGTCTGCTCCGATATCCAGCACCACTGCTTCGCCGTTTTCTGAACCAAGATCTTCGTTTTGGACTGCTTTCAAACCCTTCAACACTTCGTCCATGGTTGGTCGCATATCCTTCTCCTGTTGCAAACACCGGAAAGCCAATTCTGCCACAGCTGTTGTCATCCTTCTAACTGAAACGTTTGTTTCAAACCCTAGAAGAGGATCGACCAGCTCATTTACTAAATGGTTTTGGATTTTGTTGACGGCCAGGTTGGCCAAATTTATGTCAAGCCGATGCCTATTGGTGTCCACTGCTTGTAATGACGATAAAAGCTCGATCAGGACCACCCCAAAGCTATATACGTCACTCTTGTCTGTGAGTTGGTAGCACTGGTAATACTCGGGATCAACATAGCCGGGAGTCCCTTGCGGAGCAGTTGATACATGGGTGGCATCGTTGGGGAACAAGCGTGACAGACCAAAATCAGCCACTTTCACGCAAAAGTCGTCCTCTAGGAGAATATTGTTGCTCTTGACATCGCGGTGTATAACATCATTGCGATGGAGGTAAGCCAGTGCATCAGCTGTCTCTATGGCAATGTTCAATCTAACAGGCCAACTAAGAAAGCCAGATTCCACTCGTTTCCCATGGAGATGGTCAGCCACTGTTCCATTAGGAATATACTCATAAACAAGGAGAAGTTCTCGGCTGCGTTTTGAGGTGCATCCATACAGCTTGACAAGGTTCCGGTGTTCAAGACGAGTTAAGATCTCGACCTCATTCATAAATTGCTCCACACGTTTGAAATTGTTTTCATAAAGGCGCTTCACTGCAACTACACGGCCATCCTGTAGCTTACCTGGACAAACAATTAGAACGTTTAACAAAACATAATCAAGATTATCTGTTGGTGAGCTAAATGCTTGCAAAGAAGGTGGAAAAGGAAGTATTTTCGAACCATAGTAAACAGTGCCAAAGCCTCCATCTCCAAGCTCTTTAGCAGGGTTGAAATTTTCAGTAGCTTCCTCTAATTCAGTATAGCTGAAGACCTTAACTCCAAAGTAAGTGCTCGCCTTATTATCATAGTCAGACTTGGAGGTAAAAGAGGGATAAGACGGGATGCTCTGAGATTGAGAGAGATTAGTTGAGGGAGTTGCAATGCTACTGCTTGTAAGGGGTGTAGGCTGCTCTTTGCTTTGAGTCTCTGCAGCAAGTTTCCTCTTCTTGCGTTGGATGAAATAATAAAAATAGAACCCAACCAAAATGCCGAAAAGAATTGCACCTCCTACAGCAAGACCTGAAGATGAAACAAAATACTGTTTAGATTTTCTTCTCCACCCCATGATGCCAGTGGAAATAATACAATGAGTTGTTAATGAAGTGATTTATTACCTATCGGGATTCCCAACTTTTTTCCTACAAAAAAGATAAGAAAAAGAAAGCAGTGTTAATAAAAAAAACATCTTCTCATCCAAACTTGAATTGAAAGTTAGGAACACATGAAGAGAATTTGACGAACTGTAGATACCGTACAGCTTCTATAAAACCAAGTAAACTTATATGTGGGAAACTAATAAGCAGTGGACCGAATGAGTCATCTACTTGAATTCTTTTTGCATCAAGAACTTTGCATGTCATACACTACAATATACTCCCAAATGTACGGTGTACCAACGATTCTGCTACAGAAAGTGATGCAAACTTCACATATTTTCAAATTAAACTCCAAATGTATGCTGCATCAAAGCTGAACATGCCATATGGGGTACATAGTTTTGCAGTTCTTGCTATTAGTATAAACAACTGTTTCCTTCTGCTGTTCAAAGAGTAGTTAGTCTCGTCTAATTTAGTCAACGGAAGAAACAAAAATCCATGTTCCAAAACAAATAAATCAACGAAACATTGAGATCGCAACACTAGTTAAGTAGTACAGTACACAACGGTCTTCTAAGTTTTCAGATGAATGAGACTAGACTAATATTGATTTAAGGGGAAGTTCGATATTTCGAAAACAATGAATATAAACGATACCAAAAACACTCCAAACTTTTAAATTTGGGCACCCCAAGCAGGACCTAAAACTTGCCCAAAACCACTACAATACCCAGAAAAGGAAAATACCTGCCGGGTTACACAACCGTTTGCCGCAAATGCAAACGGGTCGGTTCTTATCCGAGTCAAACCCACAAAGCCCATTGACATTAAGACACTCAGCGCACTGCTTCTCATACGGGTTCGTATAATTGACATTGAACCCGGCCATGATCGCTTCCTTAAACAGAGACCGGTTGCCGACGAGAACCGCCGCCGTGGTTTTGAGAATCGGCACCGTAATCCCGATGGAGCACTTGAACTCGCTCACGATCGGGTCGAGGGGCACCGGCCCGATCAAGTAATAAGCGTCTTTGAAAGAGAAATTAAGGTCGCAGAGAAACCAATTCAGCGGCTTGGGATTGACGAAAGTGGAATTGCAGCCGTAGAAAATAGTGACGTCCATGTCGTCGTCCTCATTATAGCTGAAGAACTCGGACTCAAGAGTCGAGTTCGCGAGTTTGTCGGTGCAGCTAGAGTTCCAGAGGTCGGACCGGGCGACGGTCATGTTCTGGTGAGCCGGGTCGAGTTTGAGGATCCGGTAGCTCAGCAGCCCGATGGTCAACTTGGGCGAGTCGTCGACGCAGGTGAGGTGGAACTCCGGCGGGCCGCAGTAGGAGGGGCGGGTACCGCCGGTGAAGGGGTAGGTGAGGTTCCGGAGGGGACCGCAGTCGAAGGTTTGGGTGCAGTTGGAGAGATCGGCATGGGCAGGAAACGACGTCGCAACGTCGACGGAGCAGAGCAAGAAGAAGAGAAAGAAGAAGAAGAAGAAGAAGAAGAGAAGCGGGAGCATTGGGGGATAGGTGGGAGTGAAACGACAGCGTCTGGGAGTTGGGGGCGGGCGAAGCGGCAAGTGATCAGAGTTCAGTGATGAAATGTGGAGCAAGGATGGAGGTTTTGTGATGACGTGGCGGGCGGCCGCTGGTTGACTGGAATGTTGGACTATAGTGTGGAGGTAGAGGATTGCACACAGTTTTTGAATGTTTTTCGGAGGCTGCCGACAAAAGATGTGCGCTTTTTAGGCTGTGTTTCGATTTCTTTGCGTTGGCATGTTATGGAGGGAATTCTATTTGTTCAATAATCGATGGCCATTTTGGTAATTTCATCAAGTATTTGTAGTACTATTTGTCATTTAAATACCGTTATTATTAATAATTATTCGTGATTTGGTGTGCGTGTTGGTCAACTACTAAAAGGTTTGAGTCAAACAATGTGAATGAAACCCAAGTGGATGATTTCTTATTAATGGCGGTTGATGAAAGTAGGGAGATTTTGGGTGTGAAAAGAAGATGTCATACAAGATATGTATTGTACTAGTAGTTAGCGTATTGTGTTTCTTATTAAAATTCTCATTTAAAATATAAAAAAAAAATTAAAAATATAAGTAATCAACGAGCGCATCGAAGCAAAAAAGAGGTGTGCTGAATATTTTGCTTAAAAGTTCAACAACTACGCACATGCAATTTAGTTATTATTAAATCATGTTGTGGGGGTGTTTTTTTTCGGGGGGCGGGGGGTTGTAATTAACAAAGTACAATCTCCATCTAGAGTTTGATTAAATGGACCTACGTTTTAATAGTTTAATGCCTCAGGCATGCATGCATGTGAGCTTTCTTCAACTAACATCAAAACATGGAAGAAATCGTGTTCTTCCCTCAATTGTGCCTAAAGAAATTTGACCAAAAATATAAAAGAAAACTCTACCTAGGAAGTTTTTGCCAAAAGTGACCTGTTCAAAATTTATAACTGAATTTACACCATAAAGATCTTCAAATGCAAAGCAAATCCACTCTAATTAACAACTTCCTAATGTATTGGAAAAGTATAGTTTCCTAGTCGATTTGTTTTGCACATTGTTTGATTTCTTACATGTAAAGAGTCATTCCTCTTTACATAACGACGTGACATCATTTCATAATACAAACTTCACAATCTAAACCGTTCGTTCTTTTTATCAGACATACATATCATCTTCATTTGTTTTAGAGATCGTCTAGTTCTCCATATGAATGAAAAAAAATTGATGGTTAATCATGGGAACATTACTTGTTACCATGACCGTCAATTTGTTCAATTAATATGGATAACTAAATTATCTTTAAATTTAAAAAAAAATTCTAGAGATTATCTTTAAATTATGATAAAGACAATGAATTAATGATTCAGACTATGACGTTTGTATGGTAAAATGTTACAACAGATCATGTAAGAAGAGAAATGACTTCTTAAATGTGGCTACTTATAAAGAGTCAAGTATTATTCTGTTGAAATATATGCATTCGAAACATACTATACCAATAAAAAATACACTCAAATAAGCCCTAATTAAGCCCAAAATATGAAACACACTTTTTTAAAAAATAAAAAACATAGAAGAAAATTATGCATAATAGTGTGACGCATTATCGTGATTAATAGATGCACATTCTAGTTCTTGTGTTCTAATAAAAGGTTTAAAAATAATGAATGTTTAATCCAATACTTATAAGTATTTTATTATATTTGTCCAGCTGTTCTCCATGTCGGTATGGAAAAAACTTATATGGCAGGCAGCATAAGATTGCTGAGAACCAAACAAGTTATGGGAGGCAGATTATCTACCCTCTTATTTTTCATGCCCTTCTATTTTATGCATTCACGATTAAGTCACATCAATATTTTATATTATTTTTCTTTTATAGAAATAATAAAATAAAAACAAATAGTAATATAAAATGTTAACGTGCATTAACTGTGACCACACAAACAGTAGAGCACGGAAGGGCACAGAAAAGTGGGAGGGCAGAGAATCTGCCTCCCAAGTTATGACCAATACAAAAATAGTTCCTTTCTCATATTATTTGTTCATTTTGGTTATTTTAATCTTTATTTTTTATGTTATTTTACTTTTAGTTTTGTTGTTCAAATAAGCTTATTAGTGGGCTCATCGTTGCCATGTGTAATATTTAACCTAAAAAATTAATTGGGCTTTAAAATGATATGACTTTTTCAATAGACTGGGTACTCATGTGAAATGTTTGAAAATGTTAGGATTAACTTGATTTGCATTGACCAAAAAAAGCACCTACATATGATACACATGTGATGAGAGTAGGAGTGAGTGGGTTTTGTTTTGGCATGGAAAATGCCAGCTGCCTAATAGAAGATTGGAATCTAGAAGCATAAATTAAAGATGATAATAAGAAATCAGAAAAAAAGAAGGCACCTAACTTGAAGGTTCCAAATGGAATTCCTCATATGAGTTTTGACATGGTAATCAGTAAGAAAATTGGATGGAGATTGAGAAAACACATTTCTCTCACGCATAACAAAAACACATAAAGATGTGCCAAAGCCTAAAACAAATGAATATAAACCACCCTATAAACTGGTAATATAAGTTTGTCGTGCAGGATTTTCTAAGAAAATTCTGCACAACAATTTTTTTTACTATCAAATACTAATTTCAATCCGGAATGTTGAGTGCATCAATCCGAGGTCAGTAATCTACAGTCTAGTCCACGTATTGCCAATTCGTTTTTGGTTAGATTAATATCTAAATTCTATCATAAACATACTGAAAAGATATTTAGGCGCATACCTTCACATCTTGAGGGATTAGGTCCATCCTTACAGAAGCAGGTGAATTCAGTTAAGATATATTGTACCCACACTGACCCCCAGACACCTGACATTGGCCACACAAGGTATTACTTGCATCCCACTTCAACCCAAACCCGGAATCAAGTGCAGCAACCAGATTATCCTTGGACGAATTCAACCCTAAATCCGCAGCTACGGATTGAGAAACGCGGGCAGTGACAGTCGTGTTGCAGTAACCACTAATATTCGGCAGCTCTAAATTTGTGACAAAGTAATTAATGGAAGTGGCCGTACTGTTTACGATGCAATTGAACTGACCTGTGGGCTGATTTGGAAGAGGAATGAAAATTGGTGGACAATCGTAGAACAGAAGTACTTCTTGAGCATCCGAAGTATTTTCGATATGGCTTGATTTTATGGTGGTATTGGCAAGTGACAGTGGACAAAGGTTGTTCCAAAAGTCCGTTCTAGCAACCCGTAGAGTACTTGTAGATTGGTTTATATCGAGGACTCGATAATCTTGGCCCTCAAATGAGATCACGGGGGCATCTCCGCTGCAGTTGAGCTTGAAATCGGGGAAGCCACAATAATCTGGCCGGCTTGATCCCCAAAAAGGGTAAGGAACATCCCGAAAATTTGCGCATTGGAACGACGTGCTGCAGTTGAGGTATCGATCGTCATCCACAGCCGAAGAATTTCGAACATGGAAAAGGCATATGGTAGTTGTGATCACAAGGAGTAAAGAGATGTTTTGGAAGGGATAGGGATGTGTTTCCATGGCGAGAGAGAGAGAGAGATAGGTATTCAAAGTGGCTGAAAAATGAAGGAGATGAACGTGGAATTATCGTCATCTGCAAAGGACGACTGAGAAGACAAAATAGGTGGGGAAATACGACCAAGTTAACGTTAGGTTAAATCTTAGTTTATATGTTTTTTGTTTTTAGTAGTAAAAAATAGAAGGTTCTATTGGAGCGTTAATTTAATTAGGAGTGCTTATAGTCAATGGAAAGTTTTGGAGGCCAAGTCTGTAACTATTTTTATGGTCAGCTTTGCATAGCGGTCTCGTCACCAAATATGTATTGGTTGTCGAACAGATAAGCCACCTTATTAGAAAAATTGACTTAATTTTGGAGTTGTATATAGCTAAATCCCTCTGCACTTAGATTAAAATCATCGAAGTCAACAAAGGGTGACTCACGTTTTCGGTGGAATTGTAGAGTTGTATGGTAGGTTAGGTGTATTTTCTAACAAAAATATAGCGTTTGACATGCGTTTTATAAACTTTTATTTAACCATTTGTAGCATGTAAAACGAGAATTTAGAAGAAAAAAAATTCCAGTGTGAGGAGCAAACAAAAGGGTTGGCTAGATGGTCATGGTGACAACAAAGGATCTTTTTCCAAAAAAAAAAAAAACAACAAAGGATCAAAATGACAAAAACATGAACAATCTTAAGAGTTGTAGGGTGGCTCGAGCAGTATTTGCCAGGAATATATGGAGTTGTTTGGTATTCAATTCGGAAAATAATTCATAGTTTTCGAAATGATTAAGGTAACTACGTTATTAGTAATAATTGGTTTCAGAAACCAAAGAAATTGAATCCAATATGGATACCAAACTATTCCATTAACTGTTTGCTGTTTTTGCAAACAATTGGCTCTAACTATACTAGATTCCTTCCCTCTGCTTCCTAATTTTATCATGGGACCAGATAGCTCACATCCGAAATTTAGACCCGGGTTTTCTAACACATACGCCTAATTAAACACGGTTTACGACTAATCATCTAAAACAAAGAGCAAGCTAGGAGTTCCATATGTGTAATTTATAAGGGAATGACAAGGGACAGACGTACCTCCGCCTTGACTTGAAGTACTAGTTCCATTACATGTGGATGCATAGGCTCGATCTGCGCAAAAGCAACTGAATCCAGAATTCGTAGTAGTGTTAAGCCCACACTGTCCTCTTGATTCCAAACATTTGTCGCATTGATCGTTGTTAATCTGCAATTGCAGTGAGAAACCCCCGTCTACCGCATTGCTGATCGTAAGTTATTTGACCGGCCTCTATAGCAAGAGCTGCTGTTGTATAAACGGGAACAATAACCTCATCTATACAGGTCACAGGAGATGGCTGACCAACTGTCACCGGACGTGTCAAATAGAAAACAGAGCTTGTGTTGCAGGACTGAACATTAGGAAGCGTTATGGTGGTAGGGCATTGGTAGTAAAACGTCATGTTTGTATAAGTAGAAACATAATCAAACAGAGAGAAGTTGAGGGTGGTGTTGACGAAAGTCGGATTACAGATACTACCCCAGTAATCGTTCCTAGCAACCTTAACGGTCCAAGAACTTGTTGTAGTGTTCATTTGCAGAATTCTATAGCTCGCACCCGTCATGTTGAACACAGGGACGTCGTCTAGGCATTGGATCTCATATCCGGGTTGACCACAGTAACTAGCTCGGTTTACCCCCCAAAAGGGATAGGATATGCCTCCAACGCTACCACAATTGAGTTCGCTGCTGCAGTTTGTGAAATGTTGATCATTCTGGCATAGACTCAACTCGACATTGATCGAAAGAAAGGAAGCGATCAAAAGAAATGGAAACAAGGATTGGAGCAGAAAGAAATGCATGATGGATGTTGGAGGAAAAATCTCAGCAAACAGATTGGAGCATCAGATGGAATGGGGAATTAGTACAAGGAATAATATATATAAGTTGTTCAAACTTCAAAGTCATGAAATGTAAGCCTTTGAAATATTCAATGAAACAGTAGCCTCTCTTGTTTCTATGAGTTTTCTTCTCATTTTTTTTTCAACGTTCATATCTGAATATCTTGCACACCGGCGAATCCGAAGACGCCACGTACTAGTTTAATAATATTTGTAGCCAGTTTCCTAGCCCACTCGGAATGATCTAATTAGAGGTATTTTTATATTGAGGTATGAAAAGTATGTCGTTCCAGTCTTCCAGAAGCTACAGGCAAAGTCAAGGGGTGATGGAGTCATTGAAAGCCGTCGCAACTAGAAGGGTAGTTATAATAAAAAGGAGAAAATTATTTTCACCTTTTTTTTTAATTACTATATTACAAATGTAAAGAAAATGCCAAGATGAAAACAATAAACAAGAAAAGATTCCTCAAGTTGTTCTGTGTGAAAGGGAGAACCCCATAAATAATACGACAGGGATAAAATGTTCAAAAAAAATTAAGAAGTGTTATTTCCAATCCACTGTCTTATTTCTCAATTTACTTTTAATCAAAATTTTAATTATAATTGTTCATTTGCATAGTAACCGATAAGGATCTTGAAATATATATAACGATAAAAGATTGGGCACAAAAAGGTAACAAGAGCCTTAGATTTACATGGAGTTGTGAAATGAATGGACAATATGTGCAGCCGAATTAACAAAAAAAGACTTACAAAGGATGAAGACAAAAGGAATTTTAAAACGAAAAAGTGTGGATCGATACCCTTTCCAATCAAATGGTAAGAAGCTATAACTGATGATGATTGAGTATTTATGTTTGATTGCATAATCACATAACTGTGAAGCATTTGGAGGGTCATTGATTTGCTGGTGTAGAATTCTGGAACGAAAAAGTGTGGACGCTCTTTCCAATTAAAGGGTAAGAAGCTAGCAACTGATGATGGTTGGATATTGATGATAGCTAGTTACTAGAGTGTATAATCACACAATAATAGAGCATTTGAAGGGTCATTAATTTACTAGTAGACTATAGTCGGAGAAGACTTCATTGTTGGGGAAATAAAATTTCATTTTTTCAGGAATACTATATAATGAGTGGAGAAATAGCATATTAGAGATTCGTTTGGAAAGCTTTGTATGTGCAAAGTTACGCGCTTTGTTTCTGTAGGCTTGGGTCAGTTTTTGCAGGAGGGGATTTTGAAATCTTGATTTGTATATTTGGCTATGTGTAATTAGGTTTGATTACCTTTCTTGTAGCACACACAGTTGAAATCCTATTTATAATTTTTTATGGAGAAGAATACATCATACAGAAAATTCACATAAATTATTAAACTAAGCAATTGATGATGAAAAAAGTGGGGTTTTTTTTTTAATTAAACAATATTATCTACACTAAAGGGACAGGAAAGTAGGCTAAGCCTCACACTCAACTAGCTATAATAATGTGGTTTAAATTCGCTTTTGACGATAATCAAACCAGTATGGATGAATTTAAGTTTCACTAATTTTGAGTTTTTCCTAAAGAGATTGTCCAAAAATGTATATCAATTTCAAACAGGGAGAGATGGACCTCATACGCTGTCCTCACGCACCTTGAGTACAAAAAAATAAAAAATAAAAACTAAAAACCAAAAAATAAGTGGTTATCGATCAGACTCTAAAACTCTTAAAAATGTCCCAATCCCTATCTTGTTGCTATAATAATCTATTGACAAACCAATTAAGTAAGGATTAAGACACAGCCGGTTCATCTTTCCAACTTCAAACAACTTCATTATACTTTGAAAGGGACAAGCCCTCAAACTTTGACAAATATCAGCACTAATTTAACCACTAAACTACATGACCCCTAATTGTGATGGAAGGTTAATATTAATTATCTGCCTAGCTAAAGTAGACTATCAATTTAAACCACATTTGTAAATTGTGTGATAGTGTTAGGGAGATCAAATTTTAAATCAAATTTGTAAACGAAATGATGTGTCATCAATAAAAAAATAAGCACGTTAATCGACACATAATTAATAATTTAATCATCAACAAGTAACAACCACATCATTTGGTTTACACAATTTGATTTAAAAGTTTGGTCTTTCTAGTATTACCCGTAAATTATGTGATGTGTCATCAACAAAAAATAATTAAGTTAATCAATACTTAAGTAATACCTGCATAAATTGTAATTATGGTTAAAAAAAAGGTGTTGCATAAAAATCACTTGCGAGTATATTTTTTTTCCCTTGATAAACTGGTTGTGAAAAGAGCCTTACATAATTTTGATTTTATTTATTTACTATTATTTCTTTAGATGGTTTAATATGCTAAATTTGGACAGTTGACAACAATTTCATTTGTTTCCAAACATTTTATTACCACGATCACATTGCTAATCACTCTCCCTGATTTAAGTAATTTTGTCTACATAAGTATGGAGTCCAAAAAGTGGCTAAAATATTCTTAAAATTGACAGTGACTGAAATATTGTAAACAATTTATACAGTCCCCGCTTGGTATAATTAGTACTTTCAACACTCTTCCTGGCCACTCTAATTCTCCAACATCGGTTAGTTTGTTCAAGCAATTTCTAACCATATATGCTCTCCCATCCCCTCAATTTGGCATGGATCTAATGGAGTCACATAATTCCATGGGACAAAACAAAGTAGTGTAGCCGGTTTGGCACACATAGTTGTATGGTACTGATGAATGTTTACCTACTTCGAATAGAAGAAGTCGGGAATTGAATAGGATCCACTACCTTATTCTAATCAATCTAATTCTTGATTTTCTTTAGATATTGAAATACGGACTGTAATCTGGAGATCACTACGCGTATTCTGTACGTATGTGGAAGTCATGAATCGTAATAGTTCCAGTAACTACGATCAATGCAAGTATTGAAAGTCCAAAAAAGTTTGATGTAAGGAACTCAGTTGCCAAAATTGTTTAGCCTACTGATATTTCCTTTCCCTCTAAGTAATTGTAGGGCGAGTTAAGGATTCAAGTTACTAGAAAGAAATTCAGCTTAAGATGCAAAATCAAGCAGAGCTATTGGGTTCTTAGTTCATACCTTTAGCAGGTGGCAGTGGCACTGCTGCTGGATTGTTTATGGCCACTGTTCTGGCGGCGGAACAAGTCCGGGGCTCGGAAGTTTGATTTGGGCAGTGACAAACAGTCTCACTCAAATTCCAATCATAACCACAAACACCCTTTGAACCAACACACTCGTCACATTTTCCACTATCCACCTTATACTTCACCTCAAATCCTTCTTTCACTGCAGCTTCAAGTGCCGTCACGTTCAGTATACTGAATATTCCGAAACCTATAGGATCACTAATCCGAACAACCACTTTTGACTTGCAAATCGGAGTGCCCGGGACAGCTGTAGGTACTGCAGCCACATTCGCGTAAGTTTCGTCGTCGGGGCACTTGAAACCTTCAGCTAGTGAGCTAGAAGCACAATCATAGAGTAACGTGAAGTCCGAAGAACCGGAAACATAGTCGAAAAGATTGGAATCGAGTGTGGTGTCCCCAAACTTCGGTGAACAAATTTTGTCATAGTAGTCATCTCTCACAACTTTGAGTGTCTGCTCATCTTGGTTAATCTTCAACAATCTGTATTTGACCCTCATAATCTCAATGGTGGTAACATCATTCGAGCATGCGAGCTTCAGTTCCGGATAGCCACAATTGTCCGGCCTTCCATCTCCCCAAAAGGGAAATCCCACTTTTGTGATGCCTCCACAGTTAAACGTATTGCTACAAGTTGTGTACGAATCGAAGCTTGAGGAAAAAGGAATGCTGATGAGAACAAAGAAGGCGAAATGGGATGAGTAAGAAGGCCAGGAACTCATATTGGGGGAAGAGAGTGTTTGATAGAAATGAAATGAATAGAGTTTGGGAGTTGTGGTTGGAGGTGGGGCGACACTTACAAGGAAGGAACTAGAGATGAGCTAGTGACGTTATGGGAAAAGCTTGTTCAAAGATGGGGATTATGGGACAAATTATGAGTACTTCATGAGGTTTTGTTGACTTATTCTTTTTTAAATACTTTATATACAATCGAGAGTTCTAGAGTTCAAAGGGTGTTATTAATTATGGGTATTCACCATTCACGAATCGAAGCTTATGGGACACGAGCCATTCTACACAACGATTCAATAGTTGATTATTTTGGTTTGACTATTCAATACCAAATTATCGTTGTTTCATTTCACTCTACATGTAAGTTAGAAGTATTATGTTCGACTCTCCTGAATGATGAATACGATACTAAATATAGCTAGCCTATTGTGTATCTTAATTAGCCGAACTCTAGAACTCTTGATTGTATATAAGGTATTTAAAAAAGAATTAGGCAACAGAACCTCATGAAGTACTCATAATTTGTCCCATAATCCCCATCTTTGAATAAACTTTTCCCATAACGTCACTAGCTCATCTCTAGTTCCTTCCTTGTAAGTGTCGCCCCACCTCCAACCACAACTCCCAAACTCTATTCATTTCATTTCTATCAAACACTTTCTTCCCCCAAATATGAATTCCTGGCCTTCTTACTCATCCCATTTCGCCTTCTTTGTTCTCATCAGCATTCCTTTTTCCTCAAGCTTCGATTCGTATTTAGTATCGTAATTTGTCCCATAATCAAACTATATTTAGTATTGTAATTTGTCCCGTAAGTGAGATCCATAATCAAACTATATTTAGTATTGTAATTTGTCTCATAAGCTTCTCACTTACGGGACAAATGTGACGAGTGTCTTGGTTCAAAGGGTGTTTGTGGTTGGAATCATATAGCTATTAGATTCATTTTTCCTCAGGCTAACTATATTTAGTATTGTATTCACCATTTAGTAGAGTCCAACATAATACTTCTGACTTATACGTAAAGTAAAATGAAACAATGATAATTTGGTATTGAATAGTCAAACCAAGATAATCAACTATTGAATCGTTGCGTAGAATGGCTCGTGTGGTTTTGTTGACTTGATAAAAAGTGTCATTTAATGCAAGGCAAATATTCTTCACCTCTGCGTGTGATTTTATCGTTTGGGGTTATCTGCTACAAGTCAAGCCAAAATAATTAAGTACAAGCGTTTCCCAACAAGCAAAAAGACACAGATTTTAATGGCCTCACAAATTACATCGCGTCGGTTCATCCAACTCCCATCAACCTGATCACATACGGCCTTGCAAGGGTAGTTGGCTCTTAATTAGAAGATATTTAGGTGGTATTTAAGAGGTGTGTTGTCCTTCTTTTTATTTGTTATTTTTTATTTTAGAAATATTGGTAAAAATTAACTCATACCAAAGTGTAGAAATATTATTATTTCCCGTCACTTTCTTTTGATCACACTCACCACAAATATCATTAGGCATAACGTGAAATAAAAGCTAAAATTTGAAGAAAATAACTCATATGGAGCAGATCTACAAATCCTAGCAAACACAACCCAAATTCACATAGATCCACCATTGTCAGGAGCACGTATATTTAACTGAAAAGTATAAACATGTATCAAACGAAAACTAAAAAGTAAAAACTCTAGCTACATAATTCTAAAATATTTTGTATTACGATTTTCTAACCAACTTAACTTGTGAAATTAAAAGCATTCACAAAGACTAGTTTCGGGCTTGGACACTATACAGCAGATGCAATTGAAAGAGAAAATAAGAAAATTGCTACTTATCTTTTAAGACGAATGGTATAGAAAGGAAAGTGAGAACGTGACATTTTGGGGTCCGTCGCGTGTTGACCAAATCTTTATCACTTGGAAGTGGTTCTTGCTCAGTTGATAGGGTTTTGTTTTCACATTACCTCCTTCAAAATTGTGGTCCGCTCCTCTGAATTTTTTTAGTGTAAATTTTGGGCTTTGATGCTACATTTGATACAAAAGACAAACCCTTGGGCTTCTTTCGGCAAACAAACAAACTTTTAGGTTTATAAAAAATGAAGTTGTCATTTAATACTACGATCTAGTAGTATTCCTCTTCAATTGTAAGTAAGAGGTTTTAGTTTTGATTCTCGCAAAAGGCAAGTTTGAACCACATTATCAAGCTAAGCTCACCCCCTCTCCCTAGTGTAGATAATATAGTTTGTTCAAAAAAAAAAAAAAAAAAAAAAAAAAAAAAAAAAAAAAGAAAAAAAGTTTCTGCAGTTCACATCACCAAATACCAATACCTAAGAAGCACTAGTTCGGCAAACTGGTGCCGAACTCCCGTCACAAGCAACTTGGAGTGGCTCCAATACGGCTAAAAAATGGAGCGGAGCGGCTTGGAATGGCATCCAGATTTAGTTGACGCATGACTGAGTAATTAGCAGTGGCGACCTCACTCGCGATGAAGAAGGTCCCTTACTAAGGGGCAGTTTGGGATTCCTGTGATTTAAGAATAATCAGTTGAATGTTAAAACATTTGAGCTTTTGAATATAAAATTAATGTAAAAACATTTGGTAAATTTTAAAATAAGTGATATAATCGTATATATTGGCAAAAATAGGTATGATATGAGGTGGTGCCAACAATAACTATGGTTGCGACATTGATTGGATTGATAGTGGTGGTTGTGGTAAAGGTGTTGGCAATGGCGGTGGCAATGTTGGTAGTGCTGATGTTGCTAGTGGTATAAGGTTGGTGGTTGCAGTTGTAGGTGGTAGACTCGAAGGACATGATGGTGGCGGTGGGGGTGACAGTTGTTATGAAAGTGGCAACGGTGGGTATCAATAGTGGGGTGTGGTGGTTGGGGTGCAGAAGTGACAATGGTGGTAAGGGTGGTGACAATAGAGATTGTGGTTGCAGTTGTAGCGTTTATGGTGGCGGCTGCGGGAACGATGGTGGTGGGAATGGCAGTGGTGGATGTTGTTGTTATTGTGGCGGTGGTTGCGGTTATGGCTAAAGCGGTGGTGACAATTGTGGCCAAAGTGATGGTGCCAATGATAGTGGTGTAAGGTTAGTGATAGGTAGTAGCGACCATTTTTTTTTTTAACTAATGAATTGAAAATATTCACTAAAGGCTCAACTTCGTTGATTATAAAAACAGTTTTTAAAAGCAACTTACAATTACTTTTAATTGATGTCTAGATACCATTGTTTTAAAAATAAATTAGAAAATTATAATCTTTTTATGTTAGGGCAAACTAATCTTTTTCACATCAAAATTTAGACAGAGGTGCTCAATATACTGGGGTTTGCAGACTTGCACTTGTATGCACAGAAGTTAAATATTTTTATTTCACATTCAATTGAGAAAACGTTTCTCAAAGGGTTGATATTGACATATTTTCATGTGTAAACAACAGAAAACAAGAGAAACAAGTAAAAAGGAGACTAAGACATGAACCCATCACCCAATTAAGTACTAGATGTCAAGAAAAGATAATTTTTAGACATCTAGTACGAACATGACGTTTAACCAGAGGCATAATTTTATTTAGACATCTAGTACGAGGAACTTCGCAGCTTTCTAAAATAATTTTTAGATGACAAGAAAAGATAATTAACCGTGCGAATTATGTTGTTTGTATTAGGAGCCATTGTCAAATATCATCCTACTTTAAATCTAGCGAAATGCTAAAGAAATTCTCTCAAAAGTAAGATTTTTAATGAACTTTCTGCGACATTCTAGTTTAACATAAATTCTCATACTAACATTAATAAAATATTTTGGCAAAAACATAAGGTGATAGAAAGTTCATGAAGAGTCTCACTTTTGAAAAAATCTCCTTAATATTTCTCTTAAATCTATCCCCGACACATACCACACTAATAAAAAAAAGAACTAATTTACCCTATCGAACCCCAAAAATAATAAAACACGAAAAAAAAAACAAATACAAAAAAATTATGCAAATAGTATAATGCATTCTCTTGATTAATGGATGCAAATTATATCACATAATCACAATTCTTGTGTTAATATTGCTGAGAAACTAACAAGTTATCAAATACAAAAATAATTTTTTAATAGCAATATATCTCAACATTCTGCCAAGGTTATTTGCATTGGCCTAAAAATGCACCTACATATGACACACATGTGATATGAGTGAGTTGGTTTTGTTTTGGCATGGAAAATGGCCACCCTAAACGGAGATTGGAATCTAGAAGCATAATTTGGAAATGCTTTTATTAAGAAATCAGAAAAAAAGAGGGCACCCACCCAACTTGAAGTTTCCCATCGAATGCCACATGGCTTTTGTCATGGTCATGGTAATGTGAAAGAAAATGGATGGGATTGTGAGAGCCCACAATAAGAGTGAGAAAGTTAATTGGTAGCGAGCATGGTTATAGCACTAGTTTAAGAACAAAGAATGGGAGCAATCACTTAATATTATGGTCTAATTGTATTTCTCTTCACTTGTAAGTGAGATGTCTTAAGTTCGATTTTTACCAAAGGTGAATTTGAACCACTTTATTGCTAGCCCATTATGAGGCTAAGTCCACCCTCTCCCCCTTAATATAGATAATATCGTTTGTTCAAAAAAAAAAAAACACAAACAATGGGAGCAAACTTAGAAGAATGCACAAGGAGAAAATGATGTGCGGAAATTCCCTTCTTTATAGAAAATAAAATAAAATTTTAAAAAGTAGTTTAAGAACATAGAATAGGAGAAAATTTAGCATAGCACAAAGTTAGATCACTAGTTTAGGAAAAGAAGAAAGTTAAAAACAGAGAATTGGCGCACGAGCACATAATGTGTGTTACATGCTCTTAAAGTCCGTCTCTTCTATTAATTCCGTATAGATTACTTCCACATTCCACCATATCCTTCCTCCGCCCTCTTTCATCTATCATTTCTCTCATGCATTTTCCTTAGTCTCTAACAAAAAACAAATGAATACGTGCTAAAGCCTAAAACAAATGGATATAAAACCATCCTAAAATGGTAATTTAAACTTTCTTAGCCATCTAAGAAAATCCTGCACGACAATTTATGCACTCTATCAAGTTCTAATTTCATATCCGTGCACTCTATTAACTTGTTAGAGTAGAATATGTACTTGTTCTAACAAATGCAGATGGTTCTCTAATTTGAGGCAGCGCATTGGTTGCTGAGGAAGCCTTGCCATAGTACAAAGTACTAAAATTGGAGGACAGAAACTAAAAGGGGGCGTCAATCTAACCCTTCAAACACCAGCGTATTGTCTAAGACCCAGATTGTTGAGCGCATCAATCCTAGTCAGGAATCTAAAGTTTATTCCGCATATTGCTAATTGGTTTTGGGTTAGACCGATAGTCAAATTCTATCATAAACATAGTGGAAAGATGTTTAGGCGCATACCTTCACAGTTTGAGGGAGTATGTCCATCCTTACAGAAGCAGGTGAATTCAGCTGAAGATATATTGTACCCGCACTGACCCCCTGACCCTCGACATTGGTCACACAAGGTATTGCTTGCATCCCACTTCAACCCAATCCCGGAGTCAAGTGCAGCAACCAGATTATCCTTGGACGAATTCAACACCAGATTTGCAGCTGCGGATTGAGAAATGCTGGCCGTGACAGTCGTTTTGCAGTTACCACTAATATTCGGCAACCCAAAATTTGTGACGTAGTAATTATTGGAAGTGGCAGTACTGTTTATGCTGCAACTGAATTGACTTGTGGGCTGAATTGGAAGAGGAATGTCAAGCGGGGGATTGGAGATTTTTGTGTTGGAGATTGGAGATCAACATCATTTCATTCTTGAACTCTACTGCACCTTGTCCTGAGGTACTGGATAGTCTTTTTACTGCTATTTCCTTCCCTTCTGCTAGCTTACCCTACACAAAGTCGACAAATAAATCACTGCATTCATGTCTGTCTCTCTGTATCTATCGTAAAAATAAAGATAAATTACACAAAATTACTTTAACTGTAGATCACACAACAATTTCCTACCTCATGTTTTAAACATTGCAATGTTATACCTCTTCTTACGAATTGATTACAATGTTAAACCTCCGTTACTCACTTTGACAAATTAGTCGTTAAGTGATAACGTGCCAACGTAGAATCCATATTTTACTGAGGTGGCGGTCAATTGTGCCACTTAGATAAATACTAAATTATAAAATTAATTATTTTAAAATGAACATAAATTTTTACGCAAAAAAATAAATAGAAAGAGTGGGTCCACCCCTTCAATCCTACCACCCATCTGATGCTGCGCTGCTTCTAAACCACCATCTCTCCCCACCCTCCGCCGCCGATGGGAGGCAAAAGCAAAGGGAAAAACAATGGGGATGGCAGCAGATGCGAGGGAACTCGTCAGGGTTGGTGGACGCCCAGGTATCGATGTCGTCGGAGCCGATGTAGGTGCAGCGCCGCCAGACCCAGCGCATACTGCCCAACATCATTACCGACAACGCTTTTTGATTGCTGTTGGGTTTTTGCCAGAATTAAAGATCGAAAATTTTTGAAATTAAAATTGCAGTCTCCATCTTTGGCAATTGCAGAGTCTTTATTGATAGCGAGAGATGGAGAAGAGAAGAATGGGGGAAGAGAGAGAAAGTCGGAGAGGGTAGGGAAGAAGATTAACAGGATGAGGATGAAAGGGACTGTGCACATTTCCCTCGCATCTTCTGCAATCATATCATCCTAAACCAAATCCAAAATATCATACCATCCCCAACCAAACCCAGAAAATCACCGAACAGGCCATATCAAAGTTTTCTGAAAAAGAAGAAGAAAATCACCCCAAAAAAACAAAAAGAAGTTAAAAAAAAAGAATACAAAAAAAGGGATAACATGCGCTCCATTAAAGAGAAGCAAAAGAATCGAATACCATCCCATTTCTAACCCAAACCCATAAATCTATTTCCAAGTTCCAAACCAAATAATTCCAACAAAAATATCAAATTTTGTCTACATCCCCACCCTCCCATGTCTCCTCCACCTTTTCTTTCCAGCCAATTTCTCCCTCACCTCACTCCCTTCCAGGCCACCACTCACAGATCCGACCCACCCACCACGGCCTGTGGGGGTTTCACGGGTTATGGGGTTTCATTGACAGTGGAAACGGAGAGAAAGAAGAAGGCGCGCGGGAGGTGGAGTGGTCGAAGGTGGGGATCGAGGGTGTCGGAGTGAAAGTGGAGACGAAAGGTGGGGATGTAGGGCCTTTTTTAAAATAAATTTCTTATTAGTTTTAAATACTATAGATAATAACAATTTTTTATTACTTTCTTGTCCACTCGGCTCCAACTTAATGAATTTGGATCCTGTTCTGAGCTTGAGGATGTGGATCATTAGATGAAAATTCAACAATTACAAACAGGAAAATCCTTTTAAAGTTATAATAATTATAGCCGTTAGATTTTCATCCAACGACCCACACTCTTTGGTCTGGAGGATCCTTATCTTGGGCTCAAGTGAGGATCCAAATCCCAACTTAATATCCATATCCGCAAAATATGAGCCTTATAATTAACATGTCAACATTTAATAGAAAAATTGACAAGAAAGTTGACAAAGGTCTGAAATTGTAATGAATACGAAGTTGATGTATAACATTGTAATGTTTAAAAGATATGAAATTGTTATGTGACTCAAAGTTAAGGTAGTATGGTGTAATTTATCCTAAAAATAATAATAATAGTAATTACCTTATAAACTGGACCAAATCCTCCTTGCCCGAGTTTGTTTTCGGTGCTGAAATTGTCCATGGCAACAAATATGCTTTCAAAATCATAGATCAGTAGCTCATCATGTTTTCCACCTATATATTCTTGAAGGGTGTCCCTTGTTATTTTGATGTGCGTCATTGTTAATTTGATGTGTCCTGATTTTGCAAATATACACATCGAACACTGAATCAAAACAACTTCAAAAGTTTTGAGAGATAATCTGCTAATGCATTATATTAATCCAACACCTCGATCTCTTTCACTTAATTACCTTTTTGCTTAGCTCTCATCCTGCACAAACCGAACACTATGGCACGCAATACACCGATAAAACAAACAACCGTAAGGCTCACAATTAACTTTATTGGCTTTCCTTTACCTGTAAAATTTACAATACAAAAATAAGCATGAGATATATAGGAAAAGAAAAGTTACTGCTTGATAATTTGATTTGTCCAAGGCTTTAAAGGGTGATACCAAGTCAAGAAGGCTTCACGTTTTGCGAGGTAGGGAAAATACCAAAACAGAGTAAATTTTCAAATTTGGGCACTCCAAGCACAACCTAAAACTTGCCCAAAACTACTAGAAGTAAACTCTACAATACCCAGAAAAAGAAATACCTGCTGGGTTACAGACTCGATTGCCGCAAATGCAAACGGGTCGGTTCTTATCCGAGTCAAACCCGCAAAGCCCATAGACATTGAGACACTTAGCGCACTGCTTCTCGTACGGGTTGGTATAATTGACATTGAAGCCGGTCATGATCGCCTCTCCAAACAGAGACCCGTTGGCGACCAGCACCGCCGCCGTGGTTTTGAGAATCGGCACCGTAATCCCGACGGAGCACTTGAACCTGCTCACGATAGGATCGCTCGGTACCGGCCCGATCACGTAATAAGCGTCGTCGAAAGTCAAGTTAAGGTCGCAGAAAAACCAGTTCTTAGGTTTAGGAGGGATTAAGGTGGAATTACAGCCGTAGAAAATGGTGACATCCATGTCGTCGTCCTCGTCGTAGGTGAAGAACTCGGACTCGAGAGTTGAGTTAGCGAGTTTGTCGGTGCAGGTCGAGTTCCAGAGGTCGGAGCGGGCGAGGGTGAGGTTCTGGTGAACCTGGTCGAGTTTGAGAACCCGGTAGCTCAGCGACGAGATGATCAACTCGGGCGAGTCATCGACGCAGCTGAGGTGGAACTCCGGCGGGCCGCAGTAGGAGGGGCGGCTCCCGCCGGTGAAGGGGTAGGTGAGGTTCCGGAAGGGCCCGCAGTCGAAGGTTTGGGTGCAGTTGGAGAGGTCGGCATCGGCGGGGAATGACGTCGTAACGTCGACGGAGCAGAAGAAAAAGAAAAGGAAGAGCAGGAAGAGGAATGGGAGCATTGAGGGAAGGGGGAATGAAACGACAGCGGGGCGAACGAGGCGGGAAGTGATGAAATTTAATAAGGGTGGAGGTTTTCTGGTGACGTGGTGGGCTGTGGTTTGTTGACTTGGCCGCTGCCAAAATTGTATCGTCTTCTAGGCTTTATGGATTTCCTTCTTTTAGTTGATGTTGGTATTAATACGATTGAGTGTTATTATTCTTCATTTATACGTGGAAGATATTATGTTTGATTCTTATGAAAAATAAAATTAAATTACATTATTATAGTAAATTGATTATAAGGTTTAGCCTACTTCTACCCTTTTAGTATAGATATTAAAAAAATAATAATAATGTTGGTATGGTATGGAATTATATTTGTTTAAAAATTGATGGGCATTTTGGTAATTTAGAAACTATTTTAGTGTTATTTGTCCTTTAAATTCTATAATTCTTGTTATGTATTTGTGAATTAGTATTTTTTTTTTAATTTGGCCACAAAGTTCGTCTCACTCCAGTATTGCTATCACGGAAAGAGACTTTGAGGAGAATTTATTGATAAACAAAAAAAATACAATATGTCAGGGGGGGGACATGAGGTCAAACCCAGACCATTAAATAATTCATAACAACAATTGAAAACCTTTTTTAACAAAACCTATAACAAGGAAGCTTAGAAAGGTTCTGAGAATAAGCAGCTGCAACACAAGGAGGGCATGAATCCCACCAATGGACACCGGGGTGCTCAACACCATAATTGGCAAAACAATCAGCAACTTGATTACCCTCTCTAAAAATATGAGAAATCTGAACCTGCATGGAGGATAGTAAAACTTGACAGTTATGCCAACTGACCAAAAGCCTGCATGGGATAGATGTCAAGGAAGGTGAGGATGAAGAGAGAAGATGAACAACCAGTGAAGAGTCACATGCAATCCATAAGGAATGCCAACCTTTATCCCAAGCTAAAGATACAGCATGAATAACAGCTTGTAGTTCGGCATCTAAAGAAGAGGCCAAGATTATTGAACCAGCAAAACAACCAAGAAAATTACCGTAAAATCTTGAAAGATACCACCAAATGCAGCCACACCAGGGGAACCTCTTGCAGCCCCATCAGTATTCACTTTGATCCAAGACTAAGAAGGCGGACGCCACAACACCTCAATAATTTTTGGAGCCTTAGTAGGACGTCCACGAACACCAATAGAATGAAGAATGCAAAGCTCTTCCACAGAATTCTTCATATAGCCGAAATTGAGAGAATCAATTTCAAGGAGTTGACATTTAATAGACCTTACAACATAATTGATGGAAACAACCTCCTCATGAAAACGAACAACGTTGCGAGCATGCCAAATAGAATAAAAACCAACTCCAATCATACCCAACCAAAGCAGTTGCACTTGGGTACCAAAACCTTGTTGTAAAGGATAATGGAAAAAGCTAAAAATATCTTGAAATAAATATTGAACTCTGAATAATTCCAAAGCAGAAGACCAAATTTTACGTGCAAAAGAGTACTCACAGAAAATATGTGAAGCAGTTTCCACACCTTCACAACAAAGAGAGCACATAGATGCTATAGCAAAACCTCTTTGCTGCAAGAGATCATCAGTTAACATCTTACCATGTAAATACTTCCACAACGTAACCGAATTACGAGGGCAAAAGCAAGATTGCCAAACCCATCGATCCCATTGAACCACTGGTTGTTTATTACATTTAAAATCATAAGCCAAAGATAAAGAAAAGTCACCATTTGAAGCAGACAACCAAACCATTTTGTCATCAATCCCATTCTTTGAAGGAAGCCTAATAGAAGAAATATCATCCCAAATGGGCACTAGCCATGAATGTAAAGTAGGTGGGGGAATCCAACAACCATCCACAATAAAATCAGAAACTTTAGCTCCAAAAGCCTTACATAAATCTGGTGGAATACCAAGCCTATCAACTATTGGAAAATCTAACCATCTCGCATGCCAAAAATTAATATTTTGACCATTACCTATCACCCATTTTGATCCATGAAAAATTTCTGAAAAAAAGAGGGCGTAAACCAGGCCAAATGGAGGAACTCTTGTATGTAGAACATGGCTGTCCAAGACAATTAAAAAACCGACCTTGAAAAAACCGTGAAGCCATAGATGAGGTAACCAAAATATCCCAAGAATTTTTCAATAAAAAGGCCTTATTTAAAGCTGAAAAATTACAGATGCCAAGACCTCCTTCATTTAAGGGAACACAACATTTTATCTATGCCACAATAGAAAATCCACAAGAATCAGCACATCTTGTCCAAATGAAATTTCGAGTCCAACTACGAACCTGTTTTAATATCGTAGGTGGCCAAGAATAAACTGAGAAAGTATGAGACAACATGCTTACCACAACTGACTTGAACAAAGTAACTCGACCAGCCATTGAGAGAGAGTGACCTTGCCATTGAGAAAGACAAGAACGTATTCTATTTGCTAATGCTTGAAAATATGCCCTCTTAGGTTTGCCTTTAAAAATAGGAACCCCCAAATAAGTAAATGGAAGCTCACCTTCAGAGACATTGAGCCAGGATAAAATACGCAAACGACGCGTAGAAGCCGATTTCCCAATAAAAATACGAGATTTACCTTTACTAATGCATTGACCAAAATTCACACCATATTCTTCAATAAAATGCATAAGGTTCATAAGGCTGCACTTGTCACCTTTGCAAAAAACCATTATGTCATCCGCATAGAGAATATGAGAAGGAGCAGTCACTCCCTGAGGGGAAGAAATGGGTTTAACCTTTCCAGAATTTACAAGATCCACTAGACCTCGACTAAAAACCTCTTCAGCAAGACAAAAAAAGGAGAGGGGATAGAGGATCCACCTGACGAACACCCCTACTACATCCGAAAAATCCAACAGGTGAACCATTGAATAATATAGATAGCCGGGCTGAGGAAAGGATTACACGAACCCATTGAACAAAAGTGTCATGGAAACCAAAAGCTCTAAGCACCCGATCTAAAAAGTCCCAATTGAGAGTATCAAAAGCTTTAGCAACATCAAACTTAATAGCGACATTACCCCCAAAACACTTATGGTCCAATAAATTAACACACTCCGAGGCCAACAAAATGCAATCTGAAATATGCCTGCCCTTAAGAAATGCGTATTGTTTCGGCAAAATAATTCGAGTAGCCATAAGAGCAAGCCTATCTGCGAGAATCTTTGTAATGACTTTGAATATAAAATTAGCCATGGCTATTGGCCCAAATTGAGAGATAGAATCAGCCTCTTGGACTTTAGGAATTAGAGCTACAAAACTAGAATTCAAATTGGGTAAAATATAACCTGTCTTGAAGAAATCTTGGACAGCCAAAGAAACCTCAAATCCAGCGAAATCCTAGCAAGCATGGAAAAAAGAACCACCAAAACCATCTGGACCTGGAGCACTATCCGGATTCATGGAAAATACAGTTTGTTTAATCTCCTCCAATGTGGGAATAGCCAGTAAAGTATCATTTTCAGGTGTAGTAACCAAAGGAGGAATAAGACGAGTAACCAAACCTGTATCAATAGCAAGGCCATCATCATGAAAAGCATTAAAAAAAATGCTCCACCACATGATTGCGCAAAATCTCAACATCCTCAACCAATTCCGAACCGATACTCAGAGAGAAATAAAATTACGAGTCCTGCAAATTTTTGCCAAAGTATGAAAATAACTCGTATTACGGTCTCCATCTCGCAACCATTTAGACCGTGTTTTATCCTGCCAAAATTTTTCTTGAACTAGCAGCGCATGAGACAAAGTAGAATGAGCTTGTAATTCAGCCCCATGACGTTCATCAGTAAAACCCTCTGTGGAGATTTCAAACTGAATTTTTTCTAAAGCCTCTCTAGCATTATCCACGGCAACATTGACATTTCCAAAAACATCAGCATTCCAATGTCTTAGAATAGGCTTTAGCAACTTGAGCTTTTGTTGAAGAATAAACATAGGACAACCATAAACTTGAATAGACTGCCATGAATTTTTAACCAAATTAATAAAATCAGGATGATCTAACCACATGCGATGAAAGTGAAAAGGAGTAGGACCTTGAGCTGCAAACTTTTGAAAAGAAACTAGAAGAGGATTATGATCTGAAGAATGACGAACCAACGTGGAGAAATTGGTGATAGGCCAGGCATCCAGCCATGCAGTAGAACAAAAGCACCGATCTAATAACATTTCAATATGAGATGATATGCCACGTCCATTAGTCCAAGCGAAAGGGGAGCCCTTAACATCAATCGGAACCAAACCACACGTATCCACCATAGCTTGAAACTCCTCACATGCGATTCGACGAGGCAAAATACCCCCCATTTTCTCATGTGCGCCAAGAACCGCCTTAAAATCACCCAAAATAAGCGAAGGACCTGAAAAGCTGGCACAAACTTGAGCAATAGAAAGCCAAAGTGGTCGACGTTCCACCACTGTTGTAGCAGCATAAACAAAAGTAATACAGTGGGCAGTGCCAGCCACTAAAAATTGAATAGTAATATGTTGACTAGAAGTAGATAAAACCGTAGGAGATAAATCATTAGCTGTGTGAAAAACCCAAATATTAGGCAATCTCTGACCTCTATCATTTACTCCCAGAAAATGCATACCAATAGATTTCCAAAAACATGGACAAATTTTCATTGTAGAAGTCATAGGTTCTGCCAAACAAAGAAAATCAAGAGAATGTTTTCTGACAAGGCTCCGTAAAGCTCGTCTAGTGGGGCGATTTGCTAAGCCCCGAATATTCCAATAAATGGTCTTCATGGATTACGGGGAGCCATAGCAGCAACCCTAGCACGAGTTTGAATAGTCTCACGCTCGTAGGTATGATAACCAGATTCCCGTTGTTTTTTCCGTAATCTTCTCTTCTGAGATTTTGAGAGAACCAAAGTCATGTCATCCTCAGAAACATTATTTGCACCATCTAAATCATTGTTTTCTCTACTGGCAACATTATTTTGAAGAGCATCTTCCTCCACCATAGTGTACCAATCATTAACCTTTTGAATTTCAGCGCGAACTTGAGGAGATAAAGAAGGAGAACTAGCCTCTTGAACTTGAGAAACAACTTGAACAGAGTCATTAGCATTACATCTCTCAGAGAGCACAAGAGAAGAGTTTAATTGAATACCTATAAGGGGAGTATCCATCGGAGTATCAGAAACATGGTCACAAGTTGTATCATTATCATCAACTAAACCTTCCACAAAATGTGAAGGAGAAGCATCATCCAAACCCCTCGCACTAGAGAGGGAGTTCTTAATAACCAAACCAGCCTTAGCCAATTGACTAACCACATGATCATGAGAACCTGGAGTTTCTGAAATGTTTGAGTCAAGCAATGTGGATGAAACCCAAGTGGATTAAAATGTCATACAATCTTTAGACTTGATTTTCTAGGTAGAAGACTTCTATTACCTACGTATCTGCGATGAGATTTTCATACTTATTTTAATCGTGTGTTGTTTGTTTTTAGTTTTTAAATTGAATAGCAAGTGGTAGATTGATCTGGTAGTTAGGATTTTTATATTCAACTTACTGCGTTTTGTGTTGAAATTCTTCTTTTTTCTTTAATGTAGATTAATGTAAAATATCGCTTATACTAAAAAAACAAAAATTTTCGTCCTATCTCAATTTATTGTCCCAAAGCTTCTTGGTTTTCAACATTTCATATATCAAGTTTTTTTTTTTTATCTCAGAATTATGGCTTAAGGTACTAGACTAGGACGAAAAAACTTAATATATGAAATGTTGAAAACTAAAAAATTTAAGTACAGTAAACTAAGTTAGTCCTAATTAAATGAAAAAATAATACTTAAATGAAAATTTTTGTGGTGCGGGAAAAGAGCAACAAATTTGGTTAACTACAATGGCAACAAGGGATCAAAATGACCAAAACATGAACAATCGGTTTTAGGGTTGGCTCGAGCAACATTTGCGAGGAATATAAGGAGTTGTTTGGTATTCAATTCGAAATTAACTCATGGTTTTCGAAAATGATCAAGGTAACTACATTATTTAGTAATACATGGATACTAAACAAATCCATCAATTGTTTGCTGTTTTTGCAAACAATTGGCTCTAACTGTACTAGGTTCCTTCGCTCTGCTTGCATTCAAATTTTCGACCTGGGTTTTCTAGCACACAAGCCTAATTAAACACAGTTTACGACTAATCATCTAACACGAAGACTTAGATAGCTAGCTAGGAGTTCCAAATGTGTAATTTACAAGAGAATGCCAAAGGGACAAAACAAAAAAAGAAAAGAAAAGAAAGGGATGGGACAAATTATGAGTACTTGACGTTTTGTTGACTATTTATCTTTCTATTTATTTATTTTTATTACCTGCAATATTTTTAATTAATTTACCCCAAGAGAAAGAAAAATGCTTGAACTCGGAATATAGTATAATAGAACAAAAAAAACCCTTGAGTACTTAGGCAAACCGTCACTTGCATCTTTTAGTGTTCATACAAAGATATTGGGAGCTGGGAATTTGTGTTAAGTTACATAGTAGGTTACTTATAATTTGATACTGAACTCACCATTCAAGAAATTTGAACTTAATATCTTTCACCTATAAGTAAAGAAGAAGGGAAGTGATAAACAAGCACACACACACACCATTTCTAGTTTCTTACATACTCACGTTAAATCTTGTTTGTTTGGTTTGATTTATCCAATATAACAGCCATTGTTTAAGAGGAGTTTATGACAAGATAAGGGGATGTGTTAGAATCTCTCAAGAAGAATACCACTAGAGTGTAGTAATAAGGTGAGAATCTAGATTAAGACACAAAATGGAGAAATCATAATTTAGTATTGAACTAGCCATCCAATCTAATTTTTAAACTCCAACTTTTACACAAAGATTTTCAATTTGCCGGAAATATGGTGACACGCCCCGACCCCGATATTTCCCGAATACCAGGATAGGCACGTGCTGGCCGACACCCGAGGGTGACGAAAGCCATTTATTGAGTGCAAATGCTGAAAACAAGGGATAAATAAGGCTTATAAATATAAAAGAATAATGAATATGCAAGTTAGGACCGTGTTCAGAGCACACCTCTAATCTAGAACACTAAAAGAAAATAATATAAAATTGAATGAAACGAAGGAGTGGGTCCTACACCGAGAAGACTCGAAGATGCCGATGCGGAAGTGCCTGGACGTCGGGATTGTATGCCTCGATTCTAAGTCATGAAGGGGGCGCAAAACAAACATGAGTGGACCAAGTTGATATATATATAATAAAACAGTTATCAACATACTAACCCCCAGGTTTTATGAAAACACAAATATATAATGATAAACATAGGTTTTCCGAAACCTAGCATGTCGTGCAATGTCTCAAATCATAATTCGCATAAATAATAAACACTAGTGAATGTCCGATACAACTCTCCTGGCCCCATGCCGGCTCCCCGTCTCTGAGCAGACAGTCAGAGGAAAATACACTTTAGGCCCCATGCCGGCTCCCCGTCTCTGAGCAGACAGTCAGAGGAAAACACACTCCAGGCCCTATGCCAACACCAAACCGTCGCCCGGGAGGACCGGATCTATCCCTACGTCCCGTAGCGGAAAGGACCACTAGGTAAGTACAAAACTAGTGAACATACATATATTGAAAATCAACTTCATAGTATAAAGTCATCCATCATCTATACTATAAAGAGGTGTTCTAAACATGTTCTCAATATCATATCGTCATCCATCAGATATTCTAGAAGAACATGGGTTATAGGAAAATAGTATAATTCAAACTAGCCTCAATAAGCATGTTATCTCGTAAAATGTTTCATAAAACATAATCATCAAATCATGCTTTTCATGTATGCATTTCTACTATTAAAACATGCATTTTTAGAACGGGTCCACTCACAGTACTTCGCCGTCGAAAAGCCATGCCATCTAGCGAAGAAGGAAACGCCACAGATAATCGCCCCTAAGCACATAAAGAGTACATTTAGTCAAACTCTACTCAAACGACTGAATTTGGGAAAACGGACATCGGAAACGGGTTCAGGACGTCGAAATTAGCCAAGGTAGGGTCCTGCACGAACCCGAAAAGTCAACGGTCAAAGTCAACCTTGACCGTTGACCTGTCAAAGTCAAAGTAAACGCTGACCGTTGAACGGGTCCGGGTCAACAGGTCAAACGGGTCTGGGCTTGGATCCCGATTGGGTTAAAGGGTTTGGACTTGGGTTGGATCCGGGTTTGGGCCTAAGGGTTTGGGTCTAATGGGTTTAGGGTTAACGGGCCGAATGCCCTAAAGAAAACGGCCCAAAGGCCTTTAAATTAACAAAACCCAAATAAAAATAAATAAAAAGGTTGGGTTGGGCTGCCCAGGGTTTTGGGCTTGGCAGGAAAGGCACAAAGGCCTTGGGTTTTGGTGGTTCGCCGGATTCCAAGGAAGGAGAAGGCCGGTTTTCGGCCGGAGAATTCCCAAGCTCCGATGGAGCTTAAAACTCAACCAAAACATGTCATTCAATATACCAAAATGAAGCCCCGAAGGTAAGGAATCGAAATATACCCTTGGTTCCCATCATCGTGGCCGGCGTTGGCCGGAAAACAGCCTGGAAGCCACGGGTGTCCGCCGGAAACTGGGTAAGATTCAAATGAGTATAACTTCTTCAATACTCAATGAAATTGGGTGAAATAAAAAGGAAAGTTGTAGTACTCAGCGAGACGAAGAGATTGATACCTTTCACGCCAGACAAATAGCCGTGGTTTGGCCGGAAATTGCCTCGAAAGGGGCGGTGCTCGCCGGAAAACTGGGAAATGTCTCCGAGGTGGTTTCTTCATGGTTTGACGTCCAAAACACAACCACGGGGTCAGAACATAACTATAGGTGTGGGCATGGGTGTGTGTGTGTGTGGGTGTGTTCTGCTCGGAGGGAGGGAGAGAGGTCGGGGGAAAGGAGAGAAGAGAGAACTGAGAGAGAAGAAAGAGATGAGAGGCTTGGGGGACAGAATCAGGGGGTGGGCCCCTTGGGCTCACCAATTAAGACTCAAAAACAATTTTAAAAATGAAAGGTATCCCTCAAACTTAGTGAAAATACAAAAATACTCATTTTCTTACGTAAATTCCAAGACGGGTTGTTACATATGGAGTCATACACTACAAGTCATCATATAATTTGAATTTTTTTTTTTTTCAAATATCCCTCCAAAATTATATAATAACATGTGACGTATTACTAGTGTTTTGAACGCACTAAAAAATACTAAAGAAAAATAATACCACAGCCTCGAGTCTTAATGCCTCATAAAATTTTGTTGACTTGATCAAAAGATTTTATTTAATGCAGATCTAGAATTTTCTTATCCTCTGGCTCTACGGGTGATTTTTCTTGTTTGGGGTTATTTGCTACAAGTCAAGCCAAATTAGTTTACGTATAAGCGCTTCCCAACAAGAAAAGACATACATTTTAATGGCCTCAAAAACTAGATCTTGCCCGTTCATCCAACTCCCACCTACCTATCACCCACGGTCTCGAAGGCTCTCTGTAAGGGTTGTTTACTTTTAGTTAAGTAGTAGTTGAAAAAGGGCCTAAAAACCATAGTTTAGACAACCATGCTGTTCCACTAACAACCATAGCTTATAGTTCAACCGTCACTATATTAAAGCCTCATTTGATATCTAAAATTAAATTGAAATAGATAGACTGCTAAATTAAGGTAAAAACTATGTTCGTCTAAAAACGTAGAAGATCAATTAATCATAAAGAAAACTATGAGTTTCAATTTCTCTATAATGTAGGATTACAAGGGATGAATTTCCTTCATAGCTAATCCTCTCTTATTCCTTCCAAAACAAAAAGTATAACTATAGTTTCATTTTTTTTTATTATCTGAGTAGAAATTGCATTCAAAAAATCCATGCACAATGGAAATATATATAGGTCCAGAAGGGTGCCTCAAAAACATAAAGGGCATTACAGATATGACGCATAAGCAAGCAGGATTGGCCAACCTCCACCACTGTCAGGAGCATACATTTAGCGTCCTTCAATCAGTGTCATTGTAGCTTCATTTGTGAGGAAAGTATTCGAAGGCTGTGGTTGAGGATGAGAGACTGTGTTTTGGATAGTGAATAGAGGCTGCTTAGGTTGTGCACCACCAATTATAGTTGTGGAACCATTTAGCATAAAAACTACATCCGGCACGCTCGGCCTATCCATCGCATTGTCCTGTACACAAAGCAGCCCAATATGCACACATTTCATTACTTCTGAAGCCGAATATGAATCAGCCGTCAGCATTTCATCCACCAACTCCAATTCCCTGCCTTCCTTCCATAACTGCCATGCATACGCTAGTAAGCCTAGCTGTCGATCATAGATATAGAAGGCGGTATTCTTCTTGCTGCTAATAATCTCCAATACCAAGACCCCAAAGCTGTAGACATCAGATTTTTGAGAAAATATTCCACCCATGGCATACTCCGGAGACATATATCCACTGCGCGAACATGAAACTCATTAGTATATATGTAGCTAACATAAGTGTTTCGTTTCTTCCTTTTAAGAACAATGTTACCAAAAAATACGTATGTAATGTGATCGATGCAACTAATTAGCAGTTTTTATCCAAACAGGAGGAGTCGGTTAAGATTTCATGATGCAATGCTAACCATTAGAACTTTTGGTTGCGAATGACATGTTTAACAATATATAGAAAGGCATGAATCTTACCGCGTTCCCGCAACTCTCTGAGTATTTTCTAAATTCTGTGTCCCTTCAACTGAACGTGCCAATCCAAAATCTGAAATTTTTGGGTTCATTTTCTCATCCAAGAGAATGTTGCTCACTTTTAGATCTCTATGTATTACCTTCAAATACGAATCATGATGGAGATAAACAAGCCCATTGGCAACACCTTGAATAATATTAAAACGTGTACCCCAATCAAGCACTGCTCTTCTCGTCAAATCTGATCATCAAATAATCGATCAATACACCGATTAGAATCTAAAGATAAGAAATTGCAGTAAAGTGCAATTGAAACTAACCGAAAAGAAAAGTATCCAAGCTTTTGTTTGGCATGAACTCATAAATCAGTAACTTCTCATCCTCTTTAACACAGCAACCCATGATTCTGACCAGATTTTTGTGTTGGAGATTGGAGATCAATAACATTTCATTCCTGAACTCTACTACACCTTGCCCTGAGTTACTGGAGAGTCTTTTTACCGCTATTTCCTTCCCTTCTGCTAGCTTACCCTACACAAAGTTGACAAATAAATCATTGCATTCATGTCTGTCTCTCTGTACCTATCATAAAAATAATAATAATTACCCTATAAACTGGACCAAAGCCTCCTTGCCCGAGTTTGTTTGCTATGCTGAAATTGTCCGTAGCAACTAATATGCTATCAAAATCATAGATCTGTAACCCAGATAGGTCATGTTTTCCTCCTATATATTCTTGAAGGGTGTCCCTTGTTAATTTGCTGTGTCCTGATTTTGCAAATATAAACATCAAACACTGAAAATCCAAGCGAAACAACTTTCAAATTAAGTTTTGAGAGATAATCTGCTAATGCATTATATTAATCTAATACCTCAATCTCATTCACTTAATTACCTTTTTGCTTAGCTTTCATCTGGCACCAACCGAACACTATGGCACCCAATACACCGATAAAACAAACTGGAAGGATCGCAACTAATATTATTGCCTTTCCTTTATCTGAAAAGTTTACAAAACAAAAACAAGCCTGAGATGGAAAAAGAAAAGTTATTAATGGATAATTAGAATTGTTCAAGGCTTGAAGCACTAGTATCATTAATTCATCTGCTAGTTCTGCGCGTGCTAGGTGAACATAAACATCTGCGCCGTTAGGGGGAATGAGGTGTTTGGACCAGACCAAACACCATATTTTAAAAACAAGTGCATACGCTTTGTAAGAACAATTATTTAGGCGCACTGTCTTGCAGTCGGCGGATGTGCTCTCAGAATCTAAAGACACAAACTCATGAGAATCTGGTACTTTGAACCCTACCAGCTTCAGAAACCCATCATCATCTTCTTTTCCTCTCAATGTGAATGAATTATTTGTGTATCTCTCACAAAACAATTTGGTTTTCCTCACGCACCCTCCCATCCAGTTTCCACTGCTCCATTTCCCTTCTGACTTTGGTACGAACCCTTTCAAGCACTTGCAGATTGGTGAATATTTGTGACGGCGTCTCTTGGGAAATTACAAGCAAGAATATCTCAGTTGACGGATCGCTTTCACTTTTCCAGGAAGTCATGGCAGTCCTCGTTCCAGAATTAATACCGTATCCCAGGAGCTGGCTTCGTAGAAGGGTATCACAAGGGTGATCAAAGCTCTGCTATAACAATTGATCAGCTCTTATATCATCTTTGACAACAAAGTTTCCATTGTCCGTTGTCCCTGTACAGCAGCGTCGCTTTTGGGTCTACCTCTTCTGAAGCTTTATTTGTTTTTTAGAATAAAAACAGAACTCATCTTTCATTTGCCCCCAGCTTTGAATATTATGAAGAAATAATTGGTTACCAAGTCGAAAAGAACTTGGAGATGATACTAAGAAATCAGAAAAAAGAGGGCACCCACTTTGAAGTTTCGTTTCCCATGGAAAGCCACATGGGTTTTGTCATGGTAATATGAAAGAAATTGGATGGAATTGTGAGAGCCCACAATAAGAGTGAGAAAGTTATTTGGTAGTGAGCATGGTTATAGCACTAGTTTAAGAAAACAAAGAAGAGGAGCAAACTTAGAAGAACGCACTTGTAGAAAATGGTGTGTGGAAATAAATAACGCACTTGGAAAAAATGGTGTGCGGAAATTTCTTACTTACTAGAAAATAAGATAAAATTTAAAAGGGCCCATAGTTAGATTAGTAGTTTAAGAATAGAAAATAGGAGAATATTTAGCATAGCACAGAAGGAGAACAAAAGTGTAGTGGGTGGACGAATGAAGGTAGAATTTGGAAGTAATCTCTTGGAATTGATTGGATGGAGAGAAAAGAGACAAACTCTAAGAGTATGTGACACACATAATGTGCTCTCCTGTGCTAAATTTTTGTTACACTACCAATCTAACTATGCGCTCTTCTTAACTTTTTCCTATTTTAGAAGGAGAAGTGTTCATCATGATTCTACAAGCACTACCAGCAAAATACAATCAATTGACGGTGTCCTATAATACTCAAGACAAGACATGGATTGTTCATGAGTTAATTGCTCAATGTGTGCAAGAGGAATCTCGACAATGGTTATAGCACTAGTTTAAGAAAGTTATTTGGTAGTGAGCATGGTTATGGCACTAGTTTAAGAAAACAGAGAAGAGGAGCAAACTTAGAAGAACTGTGAAATCCCGTTCCCGGATTTCACTGTTATAGTCAACGTATTTGTATTATCGAGATTTTATATTATTTTTGAGAAATTATATTAATTTATTTGAAATTAGATTTCCATTAAACTAGGTATGAAGGGTGAAATTTGGAAAATAATTATTTACTTGTTGACCTTTTGAGGTCACAAGTAACGTTTTCGAATAGGTCTCGAAGCCACGAGCGCATAGGCGAAAGCCGTTTGTGAGTCCGAATTATAACGGTATAGTTACGGACGTTTGAAGTTGTGAAACTATAGATTGTGGAAATTATTATAATTTCCATTTAGGAGTATAAGTGGCCAAAAAACCCTTTTTGGGATGGGGGGGAGACCGGCATTTTAAGAGGGGGGGGGGGGAAGAAAAGAAAGGAAGGGAGAGATCTCCCTTTCCCGTCCGTACACCCGCGCCCCACCCAAAGCAAATTCTGGCGATTTTCGCCATCTTTTCCATTGAATCATCACCATTAACTACCTGCAATCTCTTCCACTACCTCCCTTCTACCTTTCTTGCCTAAGATTGAAAGGTTTTGGGTCCAAAATCATGTAGGTGACCCATGGAGTTTTGACGGCGATTCCGCCGTTCCGGTGAGTTTCACCACCCATCACCACCCTTAGTCAACTCCCCTTGGACCCAGATCAAGACCCAATAGGTTGTAGGAGCGTTGGGATACCGAGGAAGTCGAATTGAAGAGCACCCATCTTTGGGTTCCGGCGGTTCGTGGCCAGTTTGGGGTGTTTTCCGGCCAAATTGGCCTTGGCCGCAGGTATAAAGTTTACTCTACTTGTTGAGATCTTCATTCTTGTGAAATTTGGGAATTTTTGGGAAAAAAATCGAATTTTCTGATATGTAACATTTGATTTATGAAATGCTTCTTTTGTTACCAAGCATCTAGATCTAGAAGGGAATTCTAGTTGAAATAACATCCTTGTTAATTTTGTGCTTATTTCAGTGTGTTTGGTTGGGGTTTAAGAGTTTAGTTTGTTTATGAGTATTTATATTCAAATCAATGGTAAACGAACCAACTTCTCTTATATATGTATATACGTGTGTCTGTATATATGTATATAATTGCGGCTTATACTTGTCAAAAAGGGGTAGTGGCAAAAGTGATGAGGTAGTGTTTTGAAAAACCATTAACTTTAGGTTGGTTATTAAATGATAAAGAAAGAAGGTTACGAAACATAGGCATTGAACCTTACAATGTTGGTTGCATAGTTGAGAAATATTATGCATGTTTACTAGTATGAAAATGTGAGTTGGTTTTATAATGTGATTTCTATTGAAATGTGAATGTTACATACTTATAACCTATGCTTATTAAATAGGATTTGGCTTGTGTACTGATGATGTTTGTGATATATGTGTTTAATTATCTTTTTAATAATGTGATTGATAATTATGATGAACGTTATGGCAATTATGGGAATTAAATATTGTTTGATAATTATTTGGATATGCTTGCCAACTGAATACCTATTTGAACTTGGCACTATTACCTAGCATGAGATGGGGATGGAAGTCAGAAGATGAGTTAGGTATTTTATTAGATTTTTAGTGGAAATAGTAATTGAGGGAATTCCTTGTGTTGTGCGCCATCTGACTAGATGCTGGTTGATATGTGGAATCGATAGCATGTTTGTGTAACATTGTGTTCAATGTGTAATGATGAGATTGCACCACGTGGAGGTGGTACATGGATGGTCCTGCTTGGTATAACCACGATGGGGGACCATACGCATTCTAGAGGTGATGATGATTGATTGTACTTGGTACATTTTGTAGGTGATCATATTTGGTTTAGTTCCGTTGAGTGATGGTCCGGAACCCGAGTTATTGTTTTTCGTGGAGCGGCCTAAAATCCCATTATTTAGAGAAGTAGGCTTGGCCTAACTAAGTCACTCTAGCCTTAGTTTTTATATATATTTGTGTCAATGGTTCCGAGTCTTATGAATTGAGTTAGAAAATATATTGGACGTCCGGGTGACTCTTTCGGGAGTTTTCATGATTCGATTATGATTTCATACGGTATGAATTTAAAAGATATGGGAATGATTGTTATTACTTTGATCAATTTAATTAATTAGTGCGGCTAGAGAATGGTTTTGTGTGTCGTCGGTTCTTAAATATGATGTATGTTGTGAATTGTGATATCATGATGATACATAATGATTTATATGTTGGATGAGTGAGAAATCATGTTTTCATGGGGGTTGCTTATGTAGCCTAAGTCCAGGAACTACATGTTATCAGGTTATAATAAATGTTTGAGGAATGCTTTGTTTTCTTTCTGAACTTAGTGGGATAAACGTCTGATTTTGTGTTATGAACTACGAATGGCTTGATCCCTATTTGAGGGTACGTAGGCAGTCTAACGAGGAGGTTAGATGCAGCCATAAGGTAAACGAAAATTTCCTTGAGATTTGATTCTCGAATTGTGATTTGCTATATTTATGAGACGAGGTATGTGAGATTACGAGTATTTGAGTGACGTCACATGTTGATCCTGGACGTATGTCGGGATCGGGGCGTGACAAGAACGCACTTGTAGAAAATGGTGTGCGGAAATAAATAACGCACTTGGAAAAAATGGTGTGCAGAAATTTCTTACTTTCTAGAAAATAAGATAAAATTTAAAAGTGCCCATGGTTAGATTAGTAGTTTAAGAAAAGAAAATAGGAGAATATTTAGCATAGCACAGAAGGAAGAAAAAAAGTGTAGTGGGTGGAGGAATGAGTGTGGAATGTGGAAGTAACCTATATGGAATTGATTGGATGGAGAGAAAAGAGACGAACTCTTAAAAGTATGTGACGCACATAATGTGCGCTCATGTGCTAAATTTTTGTTAAGCTAGCAATCGAATCATGTGCTCATTGAAATGATGCGCTGCAGTTGAAGTATCGATTGTCATCCACAGCTGAAGATTTTCAGCCATGAAAAAGGCATATGGTAGTTGAGATCACAAGGAGCCAAGAGATGTTTTGGAAGGGATAGTGATGTATTTCCATGGCGAGAGAGAGAGAGAGAGGGAGAGAGAGAGAGAGAGAGAGAGTACTATTCAAAGTCGAAGAAAAAAGAGAAGATGATAGTTTCATTTGGAACGTTAATTTAATTACTAGTAGTCAATGGAAATTTTTTATGCCTAAGTTCGTAACGATTTTTATGGTCAACTTTGCATATAGCTAACACATCAGCCACCTTAAAAGAAAAATTGGCTTAATCTTGGATTTGTATACCTAAATTGCTCTGCACTTAGATTACAAGCATCAAAGTCAACAAAGGCAGACACGTTGTCGGTGGAATGGGTATAGTTGTATGGTAGGTGGGTATAGTT